TATATATATATATATATATATATATGGTGCACGAAGTTCGATATCCACCTCTCGCGAATGCACCTGCCCACTATGTATATACGTGCACGAGGTTTTCTATCCACCCTCTCGTGAACATGCTCCTCTGTGTGTGTCACCTGAGCTGCAAGGCTTCAGGAGGACATAAGTCCCTTATGAAATGCCTATACACAGGAAAATGCGAAGAGCTCAGAACTAAGCAGCGCAGCTGAACCCATCACTACAGGTGCAGCGGATGCGCTTAGCCTAGCTTAGGCATTTCTACTCATGCAAGGACCATCAACGCATCTGTTTAGTTCGTTGTACTTCCAGAGAGACTGTGTCTACTCCATTTCAATTGATCGTGTCCCTGCATCGGGCTGGGATAGGAAGCAGGTTCATGACATTTTCCATTGCATTTAGGTCTTCCTGCACCTACAGGCATTTGCCTACAATGAATGTTACATGCACTTTCGAGTATCGGTGTTTTCGAAACGTAGGGTCCTGCAAAGCAGGACCCTCCGCAAATGAGCATGTAATGTAAGTTTGGTGAGTGTTCGTGAGGCCGCACCGTGGGCGTCTCTGCAGAGCTTACCTGCTGCTGCAAGTCACCTCAACAGCAGTTATTCAGTGCGAGTACTGGGAAATATTGTTTCTATAGGCAGAAGTTAATAATGCATGCGAGCGATTCTCTGTCTTTTGCATGCCAGGCCGCACGGAGCGCACAGGCGACGGTTTTAAAGGGCATTCGTTTTCCTGTAATATGCTTCAGTTAATTCAAATTTCACCTAAAATAATGCAGATAAACACCTCCCCAGAAATGGAAATGCAAAGGCACGCCCATAGTCCAACGGGCAGCGCAGGCATTTCGGCAACCAGTGCTGCACGACTGGAGCATCATTTTAGTTCATTTGACAAATTTGGAGTGGAAGAATAAGTTTAATTGCTCGAAACAATTGTGGGTTATTGTAGAAACAAAGGGGGTTTAAAGAGACCGCCTCACTATTGCGTACGTATAGTCCAGCATTTATGCCTTCCGCACAGATGCGGTCAACTCTGGGCCGCGACAGAAGGCGGCCGCGAGCAGCCCGATCCTGGCAATTCCCATGAAAGAAATTGTCTGTTTTGCTAGTAGAGTTTTTTTGCGTGGTGTATCTTCGCATAAACGTCCCACACTTCGCGATCTGCGCGCCTCCTTCCCTTCCATCGTTGCGCCACGTCCGTTTGTTTCTGCTCAGTCAGCACTGGGCCTGTCTGTACACTTGGAGCTCATCCCTGGGCACTAAACATCGCCGAGCTGCATTTAACCTTCCACGCAAACTGAAGCGCCATCAAGGTCCCGAATCGCCCTCCTGGCCACTTCCTCAACGGCCCAGCTTCACCCATAAATAAGCGACGAACGCTCAGCGCTAAGCAGCACCTTCTGCGTCTTCTCCCTGCGAATTCGTTGCATTTTAGTGCCCGCGATCACAACCCATTACTTCAAAGCTTCTCCAATGCTTTCCCGCCGCCGTGCCCTCCCGGTGGAACTCGATAGCAGGAGCCCACATTGCAGGCCAGAACTTTAGTCTCGCGTTGCTCCAGGGCAAGGGGTTGTCATTTCATCTTCGTTAGGGTCATCTGCCATTCGCAGTTTCGTATTATTCCATTCGGAAAGCAGTTGGGTGGCTACTCCTTCCCGCTTTTGCTCCGGTCCTCCCCCCTTGTCCTCCTCGTACAGTGACGGTCGTCGCTGTAATACGCGTTATTTCTGGAGCTTACCTTCATTCACTCCCCTTCTAGCCTAGAACTGCGCCATATTGTTGGAGTACGATTGGGGGGAAACCTCAGCATATGCCACTATCGTTTTCGGTGGTCACCGTTGCCTCGGCGTTGTGGCTGTCCTCTAGCTCCTCTTAAGCCATACAGGTCTACATACACTGCTTCTTGCGTCTTCATTGCTACAGCTGTGCACGCTGATGTAATTGTAATCAATAAACGGAAAGAGGGAGATTGCGTGATCTGCTTTTCCCACGCCACTTAACGGTGGGAGCACCAGTGTCTGGTGCGGTGCCTCTTGCATATGGCTGCCCCCCCCGCTGCTGCCCCCTCAACAAGGGGAGCAGCAGGGGGAGTACGGGGTGTTGCAGGAGCAGGGGCAGCAGGACTTGGGGCGACTGCAGTTGGCACTCCAGCCCCCGCGGCGGCAGCAGCAGCAGCAGCCGCAGCGTTAGGAGCGGTTGCTGCAGTTGCAGGCGGCGTGCCTTCACTGTCTCGTGTAGCTCTGAGCCAAGCAGCACCGCCTGCATGCATCAACGGCGTTTATCGCGTCGGGAGGAAAATCGGAAGCGGCTCCTTCGGGTGTCTGTACGAAGGGGTGGATCAGCGAGGCAGAGAAGTGGCTATTAAGCTGGAGCCTGCCAACACCAAACACCCACAGTTACTTTATGAGGCACGAATCATCAAGTTCCTGCAAGGAGGAGGTGAGACTAAGACACCACCGTCGCAGTGTCTGCTGCTGTTGCTGCTTTTGGTGCTAATGTTGGTGATCGTTCGGCACTGCCGTGAATGTAACAGACTACAGAAGGCAGAGAGTGCATAGGAGCTCTTGCTCATGCTGGTGTTTCTGTTGATTGCTGGTGCGACTGTTGTTGGCTGGCTGTGCATGCGAGGGCTGTCGGCGCTGTAGCTTTTTGAAAGGGGCATGGGAGCTGTAGTCGGTGTTCCAGCGAAAGTTTGTATACACCTGGGTGCAACGCGTGTGAGGTTTTGTGGTTGTTTTGCGTCAGTCGGCATTCCCGTGTGCTTCTGGTACGGTCTGGAGGGAGAGTGGCATGCAATGGTCATGGAGAGGCTGGGTCACTCCCTGGAGTATTTGTTCAATGCCTCTCAGCGCGTCTTCAGTCTTCCTACAGTGTTGCAGCTCGGTATTCAAATGGTACGCCTTTCTAACCGCCCCACAGGCCACCGGCCATGCCATTTGCTCTCCAATGGCATCTTTGACAACTCTTATATCTCACCAGGTGTTTACAGCGGTGCTGTTGCTAGCCCTTCTCCAGCTTCTCAGGTTTTCTTATTGTCTTAATCGACTCTTATTCAGTGGACTACTTTGGCGTTCTTCTGTCCTGTTAATTGGTTTATAAATGGACTGCTTGCCGCATTTGCTAGGCTTTCCAACCCAGAACATAGTCATTCTGTGTCGTTGCTCGTTTTACATGCGGTGACAATCACCCGTGCATGTGCAGAGTGCTACTTCTGGGATTTGGGGCGCTTGTTTTGCTGCAGCTAGACCGCCTGGCATACATACACCAGCGAAACTGCATCCATCGCGACGTGAAGCCTGACAACTTCCTGGTTGGGCGGCACGCGGACGGCTTTCGGGTGTACTTAATTGACTTTGGTCTTGCGAAAAAGTACAGGGACAGCCACGGCAAACATATTCCGTATAAGGAGGGCAAAAACCTCACAGGCACTGCTCGTTACGCCTCACTCGCCACGCATTTGGGTCTGCCCAATACCACCAAGAAGATGTTCCCTCCACTGAACCAACATAATGCACACACGGCTGCGCAGCCCGGCTCATTCCCCAGCTCCTACAAACCTACAAACACAAGCACATGCATCGATGTAGACGAGCATGATTGCACATATTACATAAGTACGCATGCCACATATATGTTATTTGTGTGTGTGTGTGTGTGTGTGTGTGTGTGTGTGCTTGTGTGTGCTTGTGTGTGCTTGTGTGTGCTTGTGTGATTTGTGTGCAGGGGTGGAGCAAGCGCGGCGGGATGACCTGGAAGGCTTGGGCTACGTGTTGCTGTATTTCATGAGGGGGTCGCTGCCGTGGCAGGGGCTGAAGGCGACGAGTAAGAGAGACAAATATTCAAAGATTACGCACACAAAAATGAGCGTGGATCTTCATGCCTTGTGTGGAGGCCTCCCCGAATGTTTCACCGTCTACATGACGTATTGCAGGTCGCTGCATTTTGCAGATGCTCCGGACCACAAGTGAGCCCTACATCAGTCTTGGTTTCTTCTTTTGCTTGCTGTGATGCTGCTGTTGCAGCTGCTCAGTAGGAGTAGTCTTCACTGTATTGCATTGGATGGTAAAGGGATGCCTGTGGTTCTCATATCCTGCGCTCGCAGCTATTTGAGGGGCCTGTTCTTAGAAGAACTGCAGCAGCAACCCAAGCTGCTGCTGGCTCCTTTCGATTGGATCCCGATCGTGGGTTGCTGCTCCTGCGCAGCGTGCAAGCGACAGGGGCCCCTGTCCAGTGTTCAGCAGCAAGAAGAGCAGCTGAGACAGGTGGGTCTCTGTCTAGGCAAAGCCGGAGGCTCGGCAACACAGAGGACAGCAGCGTGGCGTTCGTCGCCTGTTCAACGGCAGCAGCAATTGCAGCAGCTACAGCAACAGGAACCTGAGCAGTGGAGGCCGTGGAGGCCCCAAAGAGGGCGGGCCGCTCGGTGCACATAGATGAAGTAGAAAACTTCATGCAGCGCAGCGAACAGTGCTTCAGATTTTTCTTTGTTGTTGGCGGTTTGCCTCCCTCACGCACCCCTCGACTTATTTGCTGCTCCTTCGTTTTACTTCTACGCCATTGGGTTGGTGGTTCTTCGCCAATACCAGCTGTCTGCTCTTGTTGTTTTTTTTTACACTTACGGAGTGTGAGCGGCGGCGCCCCAAATGACTTATAAGTAAATGAATTTTCGTCGCTAGTGAGCAGAGCTGCAGCTTCTATCTCCGTCGTTCCCGTTATGCTGTCCACAGTCCTAGTTTTTTCGTTGACAGCAAGTACCCGCTCTCTTCGTCTGGCACGGTTTCGTTGTGCCTGCTTCGAAGCAGCATGTCTTTGTGGCCGCCGTTGCATGCGCCTCCTGTCCTGCTTTTTGGGTTTTCATATTATTGCGCGCCGCTGTTTCTGTCAGTTGCATATTCGTACGACGGGCCGGGGACAACCGCCGGCAGTAGGCAGAAACCAAGGGTTTGGAAAACAGCCAACAGTTTCTCGATCGAGCGTTATGCCATCGAGAGAGCCTACGGACCTCTCTGCACCCCCCCACATCGATCTGCACTTATATTATTAACACTTCGCACTTCGGTGGTGGTGCTTAGAGGCAAGAATAAGTGCAGCGACGACGACTAAACATGCTCTTATGCTTGCAAATATGATGGGAACGAGCGACGGGAGGTGCCTGCACCAATGGAACATGAACACATGTATGTGCCACCGAAAAGCACACTGTAGCCATCCATGCTAACATGCATGTTCCGAACGACACTAGCGGCTGCAATCCAGCTCACAGACGACACATTTTCTTGACGACGACGTTCACGTGCCGGTACCACGAGGGAAGGCTAGAAGATTGTGTGCAATGCCGACTGACAGCGCAGTGTACTCAACCCCCTCTGTTGCACTGTGCCTGTTCTATGTTCTACCAATGGGCCCGCTTCTCTGCGTGAGGACGCCGCTTAGCCAACGCCTACAGCAGCCAGCGCCATGTATCTTGTATTGCCTGCGATTTTGACTGGCTTTTCATGTGGCTGTGCTGAAGGTGCTGCGCCAGGTCGCTGTGTTTTTGCCACACGCACAGGTTCCGTTACGCAACTGAAGATGAAACGGCCAGACCTGCAATTGGCTTGTGCGGGCTTTGTCTGAAATGCGTTACATGCTGCAATGGAGACAGAATGCATTTATGTCATGAAGGCAGCTCGATAGTAAATGCTACCGACAAACTTATATATTGTGCACCTATAGTGTAAGTGGTAATGGTACAGTCTTCGTGAAATATCTCTTCACGTCATTGCAGAAAAATGACGAGGAATGGCCCGTAGCGACCAAACGAAAAGCTAAGGATCTTCCCAGTGCCTTCCAATCAAAATGGATGACACGAAATCGAGCAGTTACGTAGCCAATGCAAGCAGCAACTGACTGAACACCGGAATCGCCACGAAATACTCGACGATTCCACGAGTTCGGTTTTCCCACTGCAACCGATCTGCAGATGCCACCACCTCATCGCTTACCAGTAGGAAGCCACCGTAGAGCCGACTGTCCACAAGGAATGCTGCGCGGGTTCTGGAGTTTGGTGCGCTAATTGAGAAGCGAATTGCCGGATATTTGAAACTTGAAACCTTAGTCATCCGGCAAATTGCCTTCGTCGAAGTCGTGTTTTCTACGGGGCATGAAAGTCTGCTGCAGTTGCAGCTGTCGAGAAGCCTCCACTGGATTTATGTTTGGTTTCACCTCAATGCCTCTGAATATGCTCTCGTGGCCTCGCCCAGTCATGAAACCCGGCATCGCCTTCTTGACAGCCTAGTGTGCCAAACGCAGCAGCAAACCCCAGCAAAATATATAAACGAACAATTTTGCCTGCAATGCCTGGAAAGCACGCAAGAACCGCTAAGCTTGAGCCTTTATGGCTGAGGTGCTCACCTTCTTGTTGAATTGCTGCCACGACTTCGCGCTGTCTGTCAGCTGTTGTTCTGCCTGTTCTGTCTTCTGTTGCTGCTTGATTGCCTTAACTCTGCGCTTTTTGCTGTTTTTTTGTGCCTGTGTGTCTAAAGCAGAAAAAACCCAATGCACAAAAAAAGCTTCACAAATAAACAGACAGCCACGTCTGATCAACGCAAAAACAATGAAGTGGCAACGCCCTCAAGTGCACCGTTGGCGGGCTTCCACGCATCTACACCTGGAATGTACAAGCACACACACCTGTTGGTTTTGCAGCCAGATACTGCGGAATTCTGTAGCCTCCAGGGGTTATTATATCATTGGCCCGCTTCTTCGGTACCGCCTTTCGCGGCGCTCTCACTCTGTCTCCAGGTAAATCTTCTTCGTTTTTGTACTCCGTAAAGCGTACGCGAAATCCAAAGGGCGTTGTCGCGATGATAGAGCAGTCGTACCACCGGCTAAGCGCAAAACAGCCATTGAACAATGAAGAAATTCATTTAGCAGCTATTTACAGTCTGCGCATTCTCTCGCGGCCTCACAGCATAGTCTCCTCTGTCTACCACAACGGGAAAAGACCACAGAGTCAACGAGAATGCACCGGTCGGAACACATTTTCAGACATATTTAGAATATGGCAAATGCAACAGTGTTATTCGGCAACACGCTCCAACAGCGACTGCATGCTAGACACGGTATACTGGGCTCATGAATTAATTCCGTCAAAAATGAAAAGCAAACAAGGCCTCCAATCACGAGTCCCCAGTCACCGTTGTTGAACTACCCTTCCCCCCAAAGCCCTACTTCTCAACCTCAGCGACGTTTAAAATGCATAAACTTTCCCAGTATTGCACGAAACACAGGGGGACGGGGCAACGCGTCAGGCAGAAGAGCAGCGCTCGAATGGCACAAAATTGATTAATTAATAGTGTTAATGCTGCTTTCAGTAGCCAAACGCGCACCCGTCTCCTGAATAAATTGCCTGGGCGGCTGTGCCTACAGGGAAGTCAGTTGCGGATGCCTGAGGCAGCAGCACCACTTGTTGCAGCGGGTATTCCTCTCTGTTTCCCCAACCGATGAAGTCAACAACCACCCGTTCTCCCTCCTACAACAAGGCCAAACAAACACAGCAACAAACCACAAATCATAGCCGGATGCATGCGTGTCTCATTCCATTCGTTGCGCTTCTTGCGTAACGTACACATCCCACTGAGAACTCGAAGGGAATTTCCCATATCTTATGACCAAACCGTGAAGCTCTTCGTGGATATTAGTCATCCACACTCGATCCGAAAGTTGGATCCTATGCAGGTTTTGTCCTGTGAAGGGACAGTGCGGTATGTATGGACAAACAACTCCATGCCACTTTGCAGGCGTACCTTGGGATCCCGCTTAACCTCAACAATTGAGGCATAGTACCTCTTTCCCTCATATTCAGCCGAGCACGTCCTCCCTACTAAAGGCCCCCTCGACTGCTGCTCTTGGATGGCTGCGGCTGGCGCCGGGGTGGCCGAGGTGTCAGTGCGAGAAGCAGCCTGTTGCTGCTCACGGGGTGCTGCAACTGCTGGAGAGGGTTGTTTATCAGTGGTTGAAGACTCTTGAGGCGCCGCCGCCGCTGCTACTGCTGCTGTTACTGCTGCTGCTGCTGCTGCTGCTGCTGCTTCTGCTGATGAGTCGGCCAGCTGCTGCTCCTGCTGCTGCTTGTACTCGACGAGGTGTCTTGTCAGTTGAATGACTTCTTTCAGGTCCGCCTGCAGCCTCTTCAGATCCTCCGTCTCCTCTTGTTTCAGAGCATCCTCAACCTGCTGCAGCTGCTCCTCATAAACTTTTTGCTTCGCCTGCACAGATAAAACTCAAATCCGCAACACAATGCGGGGCTGTTTCGGAGGAAGGCCCTTCCTGTAAAATCCCATTTAATATGGCTGTCCATGCAGAAAATATTGCAGATCCCACTGGTATGGACAACAGAAAGGTCATTCAATATCGGCTTCCCCGTTGGGCCCTATCATCAGCCCTGTAAAACGAGCCGTAAGCAAGTCATACACGAGCTTGCTTCCTAAGACAGCCGTAGTGGGTGGTAAACGCATAATGCATCAGTTGAGCTGCATGAAGCACCACAACTTGAAAAAATACCTTGAGCTCTTCAAGGGATTCCTCAAATTCCGCCATTTTCCGCACTCTTCGTTGTCGTCGTAGTCTTGAACAAATGAGAGAAGTGGGTTGCAAGAAGCACCTAAAGATCTCCAGCAGGACCTTTGCTGCAGCTGTTATAGGAATGAAATATCTGAAAATGAAGCATGCGTTTAATTCCTGCAATCGACTGCAATGCGTCGATTTACAGACAAAAGACAAACTTGCCTTGAGAACAGGACCGATCTGAGCTCCTGTGCACGGCAATGCATGGTAGGGCGTTCATAAATAGCCCTCTGTCTAGAGCTCGTGGTTTTAATGCGTATCCTTAGAGCCCGATGCGTGTAAATGTGGTTGTATTGCCACGAATGTCGAACTAGGACTCTCAGAGGGCTGAGGCGCGGAGCCTCAGAGCCATGAAATGAAACCCCCTCTCAAAAAACGAAAAACGAGGTAGATATCCACATGCAAATAAAAATTGGAACTTCACCTCCATTGAACGAGTACAAATGGGAAATTTGTAGCAACGCAACAACGCATGCAATGCAATTAAGAGAGGAAGGACGCGAGCGCGGCGGGCCCCGGGTCCTGAAAACGAGACCGACAGATGATGGAAAAGGAATTTATGTATTCCATCTGTTTGAAATCGCTTTTTTATTGCATGAAAAGCTTATTTGCTCTTCCCTGCAAGACAGAAATAAGCCGACACCTCCCCCTGGCGCCTCCCCTTGTAACTTGTCGCTGCAGCTGCACGGTTAGGAGCTCTTAGCGCTAAGCACTACGCGCCTGTGTTCTACGCACGATGAAGATGAGAGGCACCAATTGGTGCTAAATTGTATGAGTAATTAGGGTTTTTGCTTGCTACTTGAAAGGATGGAAAACATCTGGAGTTGCATTTAGTCGACACACAGTGCATCAAGCAATCGTATAGTGCACTCTGTCGGATGTTGACAGTTTTGTCTGAAGTTGGTCCAGGAACCGTTACTCCAGCTTAGTAGACATTTAGCAAGTAAGCGAATGTCCCCAACAATTGTCTTCAGTGCTGGTGCAATATGTAGGTAGGACCTGCTTGTGCTTCCATGTGGGGCTGTCTTCCACTGTATCGAGCGTTCACGAAAATTCCCCAAGGCTACTACAAGCTGCAGTGGTGTGAAGATAGTTCACCTCCCTTTAGAGTACTCAGGCGTCCTGAGAGCAGAGGCCTATGTGCCTGGGGTTGTTGGAGATTAGGCGACCTGGCATGCGTTGGAACGCATTTTGCTGCAACTAATGGTGCAAGACAGCTTCACAAGGAACCAAAACTGGGCCTTTTCGGTTCATTCAGTATGACTTTAGACAGTTGCTGGAGACTTCTGTTTGTATTGTTTCCTTTTTGAAGTGAAGGAGCACGCGCCAACTTCATACCAGCTTACCAGCATCGTGCAGGCGATGCTACGGTGGGTGTACGATCTTCCGTCAGACTTTGGGAAGTCTGTAGCGTAGTATGTTTGCAATCGGCCTATGGACACATACTCGCTCTACGGGGGCACGCTGCAGTAGGGAGCCTGCAGGCAGGCAGCAGTGGTCACCAATTCCTGTAGTGCTAGCTAATGCAGCAAAGAAAACCTTGTTGTACTCGCATGTGGGGATTTTTTGTTGTATTGGTTAGACTTGCGGCTCACCTTGCTGCGTTGCAACTCTTGACCATCCGCTTCCTGCCTTGCAGCTTCAAGTTATCGCCCGCAGGAACCCTCGAGACTGTGAAGGGGGCCCTGTTGTTTTTACGGAAAGCTTACCTAAAGCCTTCGGTTGCATCTCTAAATGTTCCTTGGATACGTTCAAGTACCCTCGTTACACTCTCAGAAAATTAAGGGGTCCAAGAAGCACAAAATAATCGCCTGCTACTCAATGCACTTTCACAGATTCAAAAAGTATGCAACCGATACGAAAAACACAGCACTACGTGGCATGGTAAGGAGTAAAATCCTGTAGAGATTACTTATATCGCGCAAGTCTCACTATTCCACCCTTTCAACAATCCCCCCTACACACGGTGAAGATTATTCAGGAACGCAGAAGTGTAGTTGCGTCACGGTGAGTTGCAGCTCACGGTATGATATGCCATATCCACTTCCGTACCTCCAGGAGCTTTGTCCACTACTCTAAGGATGTCTGGGGACTGTGAGGGAAGTCAGCTGCTTTCAAGGAACTCTTATTTTACGTATTTTGCCACAACTGCAGCTACCTATTGCCCTGGAATAGTGGGCGACGCCTACAACTCGCCCATTTGTCACGCAAGCAGCATGTGCATTGGTCAATTCGAGCAGCAGCGCCATCTCACGGACGTGGCTACCTGTTGGTTGCAGGCAGGTATCCAACCTCCCAACAAAATTTAGGTAGTGAATACATATACCAGATGGCACAGGGCGCCTGGTCTCCACAAAAGTGACCTGATAGGACCCTTCGTACGCAGTGGTGTATCCGCGTCGTTCTGGTCAGACTCTTCTCAGTTTACTGGACAGTGTATACAGACTCGCACAAACAAATAAGAAGCGGGGGAGATGCAGTCTGTCAACCTCTTCCAAATACTCTCCTGTGACGAGTCCCTGATGTTGCTGGTTATGCGGTTGCTGCATCTGTTGCTACTTTTGCTCCCGCCAGCGTTTTATCTAACCCTAACCCCTAACCCTAACCCTAAACCCTATGGGGGAATGTGCAAGCTCAGCAGTCTCTGCGATGACGAATGTTGTTGCTGAGAGCGGCTCCACTCGCTGGTGCATGCCCCCACAGCAGTAGCTGGGAATGTTTCTCCGTTTCATAGTTTTTGCAGATGGCCAGTGCCAGAAGGTATCCCCACAACCTAGATTTGGGGCAGCTGTGGCTTTCGTTGCATTTGGCTGTTTATCATGCGAAACACAGCGAAACAAAAGCTTCCTTCGTAGGACGATCTGCCCAGCAATGTGTGTAATTTGCAGTAAACCCAAAGCTAAGCGTCCATTACAAAAGAACAGAACACCACTTCAAAGGATACCTCCCCAATAGGCTCATCCAGCAACTTCAAGCCACTTTGTGTGGTTTAATATAGGTGTTTCCCCCTTTCCGTTGTAGGTTCGCCACGATCCGTCGTCCGCTCGCATGTTTTTTACGGCAGCGCAGAAGGACTGACAGCTCCCCCAAACAGTTACAAGATTTGTCTGTCCTGCCATTTCGTGCCAAAACGGCCGGCACTTATAGGCTGACGGGTTGCAGAAGGATTGCTAGTGGTGAGCCCACGTTCCTCTAGCTTTGGTTGACAGAGCGGTGAGAGTATACTTATTTTTTGAGGAAAAAAAATAATTTATTCAAAAGCAATTGAAGATGTAACAAAAAGGCAAAATCGCTGCGACCCGTTGACAACAAAGACGCTGGCAAGGAAAGAGAGGACCAGAACAATGACGAGACTGCTTGGTACAGCCAAAATGCACGCTCAGTCCCTCGAAGTTGCTAGGTGAAATCCCAGCGTGCTGGACAAGAGCTGCGCTCGGCACAATTGGGCACAGTTATGACTTGGCACATATTCGATGCCAGCAGAGGGTCAATCGACACCGGCATGTGAGCCATCAACCCCACAACGCTAGAAGTAACTATGTATATATGGGCGCGAGTGCGTAGCAACAGTCATTCTTCGTATTGCACGGGTTGGCAGCTTTTCGTTTCTTCCGGGCCTGAAGAGCAGACAAAATGATCGGCCGCAACATAAACAGATGCAAAAACCGCCACTGCCTATGCTGTACGCACTTTTCCCACAGTGGACTTTCTTTTGACTGGAAGACCCGTTCTTCGTAGGAAAGTAATTTGCTCATAAATATTCGGCTAAAATGACGAGCATAGTAGCGCGGACTGCACGGTTTTTGCCGTGCATCAGTTCTATGGGTCTAGGAAGGAAGAAGCAGGAGAAGCGGGCACGGATGGAAAGTGATATGTGTGCTGAGATAGGAAAGCTGTGGCAAACACAAAAGCACAAGGCAATCTATAATGATGTTTTTCCTCTCACCTATACCCCTTGCGCGGATTTGGTCCAAAAGGCAGAGAACGGGTGGTCGAACGATAAATTGCCCGCATTGTAGGCAAGCTCCAATTACGAGTAGCGAGCCTTGATGACTTGAAGTGTCGAGGGATGGTACAGTTTCTGACAAAGAGCCTGCGATAGAACTTGGGAAGGAATTCTGTGGCCACTGCTGGGCGTGTGGCTGGCTTAGCTGTTGCTGCTCATTGTGCTGCTCCTCATTACCTTGCAGCTCATTATGTTGTTGCCGATACTGCTGCCGGCTCAAACGTTGGTAGGACTGATGGAACTGATGCAGAGATTGATTGGATTGCTGCAGCTGTTGGACATTTGACTGCCCATCAACGGAGTACTGGCCGTTACCCTGTGGAAGCTGCGCTTGTACCACTCGTTGTTGCTCGTTGTGCTGGTTCTGGCTATGGTGTTGACGTATCTCTTGCCTCTGCTGCTGGCTTTGCTGCCGCCGCAAGACGCTTGGATAGGCATTCCCATAGGAATTCATCGGCCTATGTGTGGCCGTCTGCCATGGCTGAATAGCTGCTGCTGGATTACCTAGTGTACCGGCCGTTCGGGATTCCTGGCCTGCTGCGGCTGCGGCTGCTGCAACTGCAGCAGCAAATGTGGGAGTGTTTGGCCGACCGCTGTAGGCAGGAACGAACACAGGAGCAGACGGGTTGAAAGACGAGAAGCTGCTGAGACTTCCGTTGGATGAATCGGCTCTATGTCCGCCCACTAGCCCCCCTGAGGGAAGTGTCCCCCCGTGCAACTGGTGCTGCGGAGGCCAGCGCAGCTGGTTCTGGTATGTCTCTGTTGTGGTCGTCTCCAAAATCGATGCAGCATTGTTGTCTGCTGTAGCAGGAACAACCATTGAGCTTGCTTGTCCAGAATATCCACTGGGACTTTCTGTCAAATATTCGAAGGGTCCAAATGCTTCAAATCGTGCAAGATGATTTGCCGTGCTGTTGCTGCCGTGAATGTTGCTGCCTGTGTCTTCTTCCTCCAAACTCGCCCTGTTCGTATGATGGTTCGTTTGTGTTGCTCTGCTAGTCCTGCTGCTGCTACTGTTGCAAACGCCGTCGCTTCCACTGGTGTCTTCGCTTCTGTTGGGGTATTCGCCGTAGGTTCTGCCGATGTCGTTGAAGCTGCTGGTGCTATCGTGCATGCTGTGGCTGCCGTGGTTGTCGTTGTTGGCGGAAAACGTTGGGTTTGTTTGCTGGCACCTGCCTTCATGCCCTTCTGCAGCACCATCTGCCCCTCGGCTAGCCGTTTCCGGCAGAAGGCTAACCTCCGGTGGGCCCCCTGCTGCATCTGCTGAAGCAGTGGGAAGTCGTTGCTCGCGTGACGAGAGTTCTGCTAGAAGCGACTGTGGCTCATAGAAGTATTCTGCTGCTGCTGTGTCACTGGTATACGCTGCTGGCGATGATGCTACAGGCGTTGCTATGAAGGGGAGCAGGCACCTGTCAAGGCGCACGTACTGCAGACAAACGGGGCAAAAGCCAAGGCGTATGTCTTCTCGGGGTATACACCCATCCCACGGCGGCGGCATTCTCAGGCCACAGGGCACAAAGTAGCCATTGTTCGCAGCATTTTCAGCTGTCCCTAGAATAATATCTGACAAAACGCCGGCAGGAATGTGGGAGCTAAAATAGTCAACGCGCTGCTGGGCAGATGGGGGTCCACGGTACGGCTGCTGCTCCTCCTGCTGATGCAGCAGCTGCTGATGCACGTATGCAAGCTGCTGGTGCTGCATCCACCAGTCTTGCTGTTGTTGCAACCACGCTTGCGGGTGGTGTAGCTGCCACAGTTGCTGTTGCTGTTGCTGCTGCCAAAATTGGTGGTGCTGCTGAGCCCACAGGAGTTGATGACTCGGTGTCCAAAGCTGCTGTTGCTGAGGAAGCCATAAACGTTGCTGGTTCATTAAAAGCCACGCGTTTTGCTGCTGCTGCAACGACAGGGGAGGCTGCAGTTGCAGCAAGGCTTGCTGGTGCTGTTGCCCGAGTGGGTGCGGTTGCTGCGTCGTTGGGGAGGGGTCTTGGGGCAAGGCGGTATTTTGTTGCCCGTAAATAAATGGCTGTTGGGGTGGCGGTTGCTTTTGTTGTTGCTGTTGTTGTGTGAGGTGAAATCGTTCTTGCCCGTATTGTTTCCTTTGCTGCTGAGTGTGTTGTTGCCGATCTTGTTGGTGCTGCATTTCCAGGGGCTGCTGAGGTTGCCATGCTGATTGTTGTCCCCATACATGTTGCTGTTGAAAATGGAGTCTATGGAGGCCAGAAAGGTGCTCTCCGTAATCATGCATACGTTCTACTACTGGCTGCAGCTGCTGTTGCTGTGCTTGGTGCTGCCCATTGCAAGGCGCCTGGGTTTGAAGGGGTTCGTGGATGCTGTCTACGGGGAAACTAGGAGCCCTCACTTCCTGTTGTAGCTGCTGTTCTGTGTGGCCTCCTCGCTGCTGCCCTTTCTGCCCCCCGTATGGATGTTGCTGATCCTTTTGAGGCTCCTGCTGTTGCTGCTCCTTCTGCTGCTGCTCATGCTGCTGCTGCTCATGCTGCTCCTGCCGCTGCCCAGGCCCAGTTTTCGGTTGCTGCTGGTGGTGGAGTGGGCTGAAATGCGGCACCGAATTATCACCATGTTCCTGCTGTTGGTGCTGTTGTTGTTGCTGGTGCTCATGGTGGTGTTGGGAAGTGTGATGTTGTTCTTCCTGAATTACAGCTGGAGGCTCGGCGCTCGGTTGTTGCTGTTCTTCCAGCTGTCTTGCTTCCCTCAGTGCGTGCATTCTGTTGGACCTATTTTGTACTCGAGCCTGTTCTTCTAAGAACTCCATTCGAGCCTGCGCCAGCTGCTGGTGCACCTGCAGCACGATTGGGTTGAGTCTGTCCCCTTGCTGCTGCTCTTCTGTTTGGTTGTGCACTCGTTGCACCTGTAGCTCGCATCTTGGTATTTGGGATTGCATCTTATGTAGCTGTTGTGTCCGACCAACTCCAGATCCACCGAATTCACGGTCCTGCTTCTCATGGTATTTATATGTCGCGTGCTCATTATACCTTTGGCCGAGATCTGCTCTCACAGCACCTCTTGCCGGTTCCACAAACTTGTGAGCTGCTTTATGTGTGGATAGGCCTTCGCATTTTGGGAATTCACGCTCTGGAGGTAATTCGGCTGCCTTCTGAGCCCAGGTAGGACGAAAATCTGGGGCGGAAACATTGAGAGAGTTAGGTCCATCTGCGCTCCTTTGGGTGCTCCTGCTACTGCGTCTGTCGCTCTCTTTACTCGATACAGGGAGAGCTAGGTCGCGATGTGCTTCTTGTTCGTATACCGGTAGCTCTTGCTGCTGTTGCTGCTGGTGCACATCAGGCTGGATTGCTGCAGTCTGTCCCTCGATATTCTGGTGGGTTTCTCGATGTCGTGTGCTCTCAGGGGCTCTCAGTGGGAAATTGACAGCCGGTTCTGTTGGTTGTTTCTGCAAGCGTCGCTGCTCCTGCTGCAGCAGTCGCTGACGACTGCGCGAATTCTTTGGTTGGTGACCGCCTCTCATCGGAGCCACTTTCCAATGTTCTGGCGAATGCTGAGTCAACTGCGTTGTTTCTGTCACAGGAGGAGGAGGAGGAGGAGGTAGGAGTAGAGGGATTCTCCTCCGGAACAAGCTTTTGGTGAGTCCACCTCTTTCTGCCTGCCTGCAGTCTGCTGTTTGCTTCTGGGTTATTTCAAGAGGCGCCCAACGCTGGTTAAGTATACGCTGCTGACCTTTGGACAGGCGATAATTGTCTGCTTGCTGGGATGTCAACACGGGCTCCTTAATATTCGAATCTCCGCTCCTTTGGCCTTCGTAGAGCCTTCTACCCGGCGTCGTTACGAGTGGCCGATTAGTGTCTGACAGGTGCATTCGGCTGCAGGGTTGGTGCCTCGTGCTTGTTGCTATCCCCCAAGGCACACAAGCTAAAGAGGCGTTTGTACTTGACGGAGGTTGATGTCGTAAGTAGTAATCACTCTCTTTTACTGCAGCTAAGGGAGTAAATGACAAGCGTAGCAGCTCACTTCTTGTCAGAGCTGAATTGCTCTCAGGGTTTGGGTTTGACCGCTGCTGTTGCTCCTGGTGCTGTCCTTGCCTCTCGCGCTGGAGCTCCCTTTGACACATCTCGTGATGCTGTTGATTCTGCTGTTCCTGTTGATGCTGCATATCCTGCTGCTTTCCCTGCTGTCGCTGTTGTGATTGCTGGTCCAGCCCCTGGACCTGTGCTTGTGGCAGTGGCCCTTTTGACACAGGATGTGGCTCTTTTTGTTGCACCCACCGCTGCTTTGGATGCTCTCTGTTCTGTTGCGTTCTCAGTTTTTGGTTTTCTGCCTGTACTTGGCCCTTACTTTTCTTATTCTCTCTCTCTCCCTGCCGATGCTGCTGTTGTTCGGCCCTGTGCTTTTCTTTGGATAGCAGTTGGTGCTGCGCCTGTGGCACCCTTTCCTCCCCCATGTTTTCCGGTTCGTCATTCTGAATCCCCTCATCTTGAGTGAGCCTCTGGATTGGGGATTCCTGGACTGGCAGTGTTTTTGCTCCCTGTTGCTGTGGAATCTCGGTCCCGCCTATGGGCTCTTCTTGTGCCTGTTCCTCTTCCAGATTATGCCTCAGTTGCTTGTATTTTTGTCGGTGCTTGTCGCTTCGTTCCGATCGATCTTCCTTGTGCTTTGGGTCCTCTTGTTCCTTTTGTCTTTCCCCTGCTCCTGGCTGTCTTAAATTTGTTTGTTCCTTTTCCCCTTTGGCCACCTGCCTCTGGTGACCTTCTTGCCTCGTTAGGAGCTGATGCTTCTGCTGGCCTTTTTGTGCATACGTTGATTTGCGTCCTTTCTGCAGAGCCTGCTGCACCTTTTGCTTTGAGGACTCCGTTAAATTGATATCACCTACTTGCAACGGCTGTCTTACCTCCCCGTGAATGGCCGCACCATGTTGCTGCTGGTGCTGCTGAAGCTGCTGTGCCGGTTGCTGGCGTTGAGTGGGCAGTTGGTTCTTGAAAAGAAGATCTCTCTGTTTCTTCCGTTGGGTGGTCTTCGCTCCATCTGTTTCACCTGTCGTCTCTACTTGTTGATGTGCCTCCAGTTGCTGCTGCGGCAGTTGCTGGTGCTCTTCGTGTTTTTGTGCCTCACCATCGTCCTCTCCATTTTTTTCTAACGGTGAATGGGGTTGGTCCTGCTTCGCCTGCTGCTGTTGGTCTAGCATCTGTAGCTCCTCACCTTGTTGCCGGTGCCGCTGTTGATGTTTCTCTTGCATTTCTTCTCGGTTCTGCTCCTCTGTTGTTGGTACTTCTGGAGGTTGATCCTGCCTCTCCTGTATACGGTGCTGCCTGTAGATGTTTTTGCGTCGTGTGAATGGCACACTCCGCGGTTTAGAGCCACTTGCGGGCTGCTGATTCTTCAGTTGCTTCTGTTGATTTTGTTTTTGCTGCTGATTGAAACGGATTGCTTCTTGCCTCTCTTTCTCCAGCTTCTCCTGCCGCGCTCTACCTTCCTCTTCCAGTCGAGCTTGGAGTTGTTTCTGATGCCTGTTAATTAGGTCTCGCTGCATCTGTTGAAGTGTCGCTTGGTGCATTTGCCGCAAATCTTCTTCCTGCTGTTTCTGCGCAAGGAGCACCCAGGGTCGCTCTAATGGCGGATGCTGCTGCAACGCCTCGTGCTGTTGCTCTTCGCGCCTCTGAACTATCTGCCTTTGCTGGTATTCTTGTCGCAGCAGGGCCTGCATCTCGTGCTCCAGCCATTCTTCCGGCATATGCTGCAATTGAAGATGCTGTTCTCCGTCTTCCTCAAAATGTTGGCTGCTAGGCCTGCTTTGTATTCCTTCTGGCGGTTCCTTACAACGACCAGGAGAAGGTGAACATGACGATGTGCGGTTTCCTGTGCCCAAGGAAGCGCTGCCATCCATTAGGTGCATCTGACGCCGTTGCTGTTGTAGCCCTTCCATGCATATTCCATCTTCGTTAGACGCATTATCCTCTGGCTCATCCAACCTTTGCTTCTTGCCTTCTTCGTGCCTTGGGGAATTGGTACGCTGTAATTGCAGCGGCCTACCCTGCTGCTCCTTCTGGTGCTGTGCGGGCCAGTTGACCTGGTGGTCGATTACTTTGCTACCTTGCTGCTGCTCTTCAATCTTTTGTTTCGCCATTCGCCCTCGTTGGTTCTGCTTTGTTGTATACATCCGTTGGCGCTGTGAATTCTCATCGCCAGCCTCCTGCCTTTGCTGCTTTTCATGCTTTTCGGTACTATGCTGTCTCCCCTCCGGGTGACCTATTTTTCTGTGGTAACCCTCGTCTTGCTGGGGATTTCGCCTTGGCTCGGTTGCCCTCTGTGTAGTGCGTGGAGAGCTCGCGGAATTCGACGAAGTTGTCCCCTCCCGTTGACCAGGTGGCTGTGGCTCATATGACTCAACCACAGCGGAGGGAAACAAACTGGGACCTTGCAAATCCTGCAAAGGTCTCAGGGATGAGTTCTTGCTATTTATAGTATCTTCGACAGTGCTTTTTGTAGGTGTTTCTGCGGGTTCTCCGGCGACAACTGCAACGGCTCTAAAACTGCTGTGTGATGGCGGTTCCTGCAGAGTGTCCAATGGAAAATTAGTGCAAATGCATTCTCGTCTTTTCTTTCCACGTTCATCCTCCTCGCTAGAAAAGACACATACTTGCAGCTCGCCATGACCTTCGGTAGGTCCTGATGCTTGCCGAGAAGCACAGAATCGTTCCAACCCAATAGCGGTGACTGGGCTTTTTGTACAGTACTCATGAAACAGTCGTTCCTTAGGTGATGTATGGTGAATATCAGTCTCGCTTAGACAGTTAGGTAAACCGGAAGAGAAAAGGGACGTGGCAAGCGCATAGTCCCTACAAGTTGAAGCTTTTGATGAAGTACATGAGGAAGAGGCAGATGCATCCTGTCTTCCCCCTTGCTCACTCTTTGTCCCTATTTGCCCGCCTGATAGAGGCGCAGTCACTTGCAAGTGCCTGCTGACTGGAGGCTCAGCGACCGCAGTGACCAAGTGGGGCAAATACGATTCAGAAGACAGCCCGTCAATGGGGCTTCCTTCTGGTTGCGTTGGGGGCAAACAGGAGAATCCCCGTGGACGCTTTTCGGAATACAGATGCTCAGAAATGTGAAGGTCTTCGCTGCCGCATATGGTGCAGCCTCCACTGCATTCCCGCTTGCATTCATGATTCCACTCAAGTTTACTTCGTTTTGGTGGCTGAAGGGTCGAGAGTAGATGCACTGGTCTTGTCCCTCGATGTGCACTAGTGGCCTTCCCCCCTTCCTCTTGCTTGCTTCTTGTAGATGGCAAACAGGACCCGCTAACCCGATTCGCACCTGACTCCCACGAGGTTTGTGTGCAACTACTACCCTGCTGCTGTAAAAAAGCACTGCCACTTTGTTCTGATCCACACGACAGAGGTACTGCTAGAGGGGAAATTCGCCGGTTGATGCAGAATGAGCGGGAGGGCATCTCCCCCCTCCGTAGTGCAGGTTCTGCGCCTGCGGAGTCAAATATGGCTCTATTTAAGGCAGGAATATGGGCATCTTCTCCTCGATATTCAAAATTCCTTGGAAAGAGAGGCATGAGCACTTTTTCATTATCTGTGTGAACTGGAGGCGACTTGAAAGGCTGCTGTTTGCTTGTTGCCTGATCCCCTCCTATTCTTATGTGATTCTCTGCATGCCTGTCAATGGAGCTCAATCTGATTCCATTAGGTTGCGGGAAGGCAGCCCGTGATGAATAATTCTGTTTTTCCTGTGTTGCCTCGTTGTGAGGCGCGCGTCCGGCACCCACCATTACGACCCCCCTCGGAATAGTTCCCACTCCTGTTGTCCTCTGCCGTGTTTTCAAAAGACCAGCACCTCCGATGTTTGGCGAGCAAATTCTACGAAGCTCCTCATTGAAAGTTGAAGTCGAGCGCCTCCAGGACCGCCTCCCTGGTAGCTCAAGGAGCCTCGTGCCGTTCTCCCTAGACTCCATGCCATTGGCTGTGTTCGTGCATTTTACTGTCCACGCCAATCTATCTTGATAGGATAGGGGCTCATTACCTGGGATGCCACCACTCCTCCAGGACAATGAGCTGAAAGAAGGCACTTGTCTGTTCGTTGAGCTCTCTGTAGCGTTGCCCGGCAGTCCCCCGCAGCACAGCACGCCCCCGTCTCTAAGCAGGCTCCGCCTACAGACACTGGTCCTTGGATTTCCATTTTGATCTTCGAGGTAGAAAGGTGGGGGTCCTTTGATATCTCCAGGATGTGGTGTTCGTGCCTGCATGGGCAGCGCTGAAGAGGAACGAATGCAAGAGTGCCCTTGGCCGTTTCTATTGCCTCTGCTTACTCTTTGATAACACTGTATTTTGACAGAAATAAGCACTCTGAACAGACTTTCATATGAATCACTAGCCAACGTTCTTTGTTGGTGGTGAGACGACAAAATTTGCACCGAAGACGGAGCCCTGGGGAGATATCCGTGCCAAGTGGTGCACCTCTAGCTGTAAACCTAGTAGAATAGTGATGGCCGAGCTGTAGTGAAGGTGTTTACCTTCAGTGGGGATGCCAGGGGAATACTTTTGACCTTCAAAGTACTATGCCAGTTCCTGAAGACGCCTATGTGCAAGGCTCACGGGGGAGAATGGTCCATTCTAAGGCTATAACAGAGTGTGTTGTATGAAAACTAAATTGTGAAAATTTAACAACAAAGAAGGGACAAAAAATATTCAGCTGACAACTTGAGAGGGAGAAATTCCGCTCCACAATGGAATCCAGCGGCGAGATGACCCCGGCAGTGAATGCTTAACGTTCAATCGGGAACCTCAACACTGCACTTTCGTAATTATACACGTTGGCGAGAATGAAGGGTGGTAGTGCTCATAATATATTATTTCTGCATTGTAAGCAGAAATTAGCGTGGGTCTACGGAAACGCCGCCCGTGGTAGTGACCACTGGTGTCGCCTGTTTACAGCGCCACTAGCTAAATAGCAGTACAAGGGCCAACCTTACTGTCTTATCACACTTCAGTTTGGAAAAAGAATCTCCATGGTATTCCGGAGTTTTTCAATATCGAAGGCTTTCACTTTGCCCCAAGTTTGACGGCCGAGGGCGCTCTCGTGCCCGCTTGAAACAGGGGAACTTAGACAGAGCTCATAGTGCACGGTTACCAGTGAAGAAGCCAGTAATAAACACAATGAATGCCTTTAAGGTTTTTCAGCATTTCCGGAAGCCGGTCTCCCAGGCTCTGCACGAGCAGCGATGCCGTATCCTCTCAACATGTTCGCTGAGGAAGGGCAACAGCAGCTACAGTTGTGATGTAAAACCTTTGGGGGCAACAGCAGCTAGAGTTCTGATGTAAAACATTTGTTGTAAAACCATACACCCAAGCAGCATGATTCGCACATCACAACTTGAGAAAATACAAGAAGTCCCCCGGATATATGCCCCCCTAATCTCTTGTGAACCGCTTGTGTACGGGGCCAGAACATGATGCTCCGATACCACCTGCCCCTCAGATGCCAGTTCCCAACATTTTTGTGCGTGCACTGGATTCGTGAGTAGCCATTGCTGTTCCTGTGTTTATTGTGTTATCTACCCTTTCTCACCTACAATACCATATACTACTTCGCATTTGCCTACCCTGACTTTGTATAACAAAAACACTCCACACAACAATATCACACTTCACTAACTGAAGGGTTTCCCTCTTGCCCTCTTGGCTTGAGGCAGTGCCGTAGCCATCTCAAGTGAAGTATACTGTTGTGCGCTATGGGTAACGTGAACAAAATTTAGTTTGCAACCATGGGCATCTCCCATGCAGGTGATGGGGTGTGAAAACCCATCAGGCTCAACTGAGAAGGGCGTTGCTCCTTTCAGCCGTTGGAAAGTAAAGAAATTGAACAAGATAGTTTCCTTGAGAGTATGGGTGGACCTTTGCTCAATCCACTCCACAACGTATGGTTCAGCCATTCGCCTACGTACTTAGGTTAAGGCGGAAACCTAATTCCTACTCCAACAAAAAAGGAGTCCACAAAAACTGGTTGACACTTGGGTGTCCATACATCTTTAAAGCTGGAATTCAGATGCAAGTGGGTGGAAGCTAGTGGATGGTGCCGCTGGTTACTCCCAGCTCCTGATATTCACCTAAAAGTCCCCAGTTCCGAAGCTGTAGTTGCCGATCTAAAGGTAGTTAGCTCGTCGTGCGGCTGCGGTAAACCATTACTTCGAACAGCCACAGCTGTTCCCTGCGTGGGTCCTATCGTCTTTAATTCCTCTTTGCTCTCCTTTTTCCCAACAGTACCAGATGCAGCTGCTACTGGTGTATATCCCTGCCTAACATGAATTACGCCTGGTGTGTTAACAGTTGCAGCACTCTGTAGCTGGCGGTCAACAGACTCTTTAGCTATCTTGCCGCCCCCAACTCGCTGCTGTCGAGGAGCACCTTTCTTTGTAGCATCCCTTTCCAGATCGGCTCTGCGTCGCCTCGCTAGCTCCCTCAGCAGGCTAAAGTGCTGCTCCCTCGAGCCTCTACGAAGGAAGCATCGCACGAGTTCGTTGGTCCCCGACGGCGCGTTCGTGATGGACCCACTCAGCAAAATGGACTTCTTCAACAAGTCAGTCCCGTCTATTTCCTCGACTCCCAGGGCCTCATACACCTCTCTCCTCAATGAATCACTCATTCGGATCTCAGTTTGCCGCATATCTAATACGTATTTATTGGACATGAGTATCTCTTGCAGCTCCTCCTTCGAGCTCACACTGGGCACAGTGAACTCCCCCGCTACTTCCAAGAGCACAGAACTGTCCCCTATAACTGAGAGGCCACTAGAACCCTGAGCGTCCATGATGCCCGATCTTCCCCCTTTTAATAAACCCCGCTCCCTACCCAATTCCCGCCGAGTTAAGCTCCTCCACGTGAAAAATTGAGAAATTACTCAAAGAATTAATTCACGCTGTGGCCCGAAGTCCGGAATAAAGGGCAGGTCTCGTATTGAAGAACTACAATGAAACCCACTAACAGATCGGCAAAGAGGAAGGGCGGGTTAACAGCACGTTCCTCATCGAGGGAATCGAGAAATTGGAGCTAAAATACATTTACAAACGAGCATACGATGAAAAATAAAACCAATGAGGAGTCTCTCTCTCTAGCTGCAAAAGCACCCTGACATGCATCAGCTCCGCGCGTGCTAGCGGTTCGATTCGCTCGTACGAGAACCCTGTCTAACGATTGGTTCACCGGTTAATCACACTTTCCCCTGGAATTACAAATGACTTTTCTACCACACGCATAGCCCAGAATAGGTTTTATAGTTCATACACTCTCGTAAATTGTGTGAGTCTGCACCCCTATTGCATTCGCTTGTCCGCGGAAGGACCGTTGCCACTCTGCTTTGTTTTCTGCCTGCAGACTACTCACCACCCGTAGAAATGTTCACGTACGTTCTACTTTACTTCTTTAAGCCTTAGCATAGTGGTAAATAGAATACAGAAACATGCCGCCGCCCACATCATTTGAGTGTTCACTTACATTGGGGATTCCGTGTCTGGTAGTCTTTAGCTCCTCGTAAGGCGACGTCGCCAGGAGAGATCTTCAGATTTCAACAGTTTAAACTTCATTTTAACGTCAAACTTATTCGTTTGGAAGTTGAATGTCTTCTCCCTGTTGAATTAAGGCATGTAGCATACTCTGTTCGCAGACGGACACTTACTCGACAGTAGGCAACGTGCACGAAGTATAAATCCCAAAAGTGTCGCAGTGATAGTGGATGCAGGAGGTAACATGGGGTTCTGCTTTTATGTCGGGCAGACTTGCTTCCCGGGCTACAAGGAGGTGGGTCGCCACTTTGAGACCGCCTATTAGGAGGGAACTAAAACTTACCAGAGGGTTGTTGGCTGCTGCTCTAGAGCCGAAGTAACCACGGTGAGAGTTATTTGAATGCAGCTTGCATCGCTTACCAGTGTCTAGATATCCTGCTCAATGCGGCCCAAGCACATTTGGCTGCCGTTGATGCCACGGCAACCCGTGAGCTCAAATATACTTTGCTGAACCTCCACAAGCCTGCCACTGTATGCATGAACACAGTAGACCATTGTTGAGAACTGCTTGTGTTCCATTTGTCCACAACAGGGCCCGGTAAAAGTCTTGTTGGTACAGGCTCATCAACAGTGCACAAACCATGCTGCATCTGCCCTCCCCCACGGCTTCGTTTGGCCGCTTCTTCAGCTCCGCGCGCTTCGTCTCCATGCAGCCCCGCCTTCCCCATCCACCGAAGTATTGCTGGTGAAGGCTGCTGATGACCCAGTGTTGCAGTAGCTGCGCAGCCGCGCGTTTCCGGTTATGCGGAGCCCGTCGAAATTGGGGTGCCCTTGCATAGTACTACCTTCACTCCTGGTTTTGCAAGCATTGCCACCACTTTAAATGGGTCATTTTTGAAAACATGAACGACTCATTTGAACGGAAAATAAACACACCGCCGATAGAAGTCTATTCACGCACCCGACATCGTTCCCAGTGCTCGCACTCGATGAGTTCGACAATTTTCTCCTCATACAATGCGCTGCCAGTGACACCCCAGTTCCGGTGAAGCTTTCCGCAGTAGGACAAGAATCCGAAGAAGTACGAATTCTCCGCCTAGTACTTGTGCAGCTTTACAGGGAGAGAGCATAATTACCCAATACACGGGAGTAGCTCTCCGCTGTCTGGTGGGGGATGGGGGTGGGGAACACTAAACCCTAAATCAACTGCGTGAAATTGTTCCTCGTCGGCAGGTCGCTCTCGCTTCATCGGCGATTACTGCAGGAATTGACATGAACAGTGCAGCGTAAGGTCGTGTGCGCGCTCGTTGCAGTGCGCTACTTGCCATGCCGGTAGCCTTTGTGACGCAGAGGAGAGAATACTCACGCACCTGCGTGTGCGTTGCGCATGATCTACTTACTGTCAGTCATAGTATTGGAATCAGACACTCTTGCATGCATGTACACGTAGCCGCTGTACACGACATGTAGGCGAACTGACTCATTTATAAAGTAGTAATACAGACCCTATTGATAACTAAAGTAAATGTCACACGAACAGTAGCAGTAGCGGTAAAGTTACAAAAATAATCAGTATGGTAGCGGGGATTCCTACACCAGTAGCAAAAATCAGCACCAATACCATACTAACGGCCGGGAAATTACTACGTGAAATTGCAACTAAAATTAAAGTCGTTATTAGTAGCACTAACTATAATAATACTGGAAAATTAGCAATTACTATAGTAGTAACAATACGTATAGTTGCACTTACAGAATGGCGCACAGTAGACAAGAATCTTACCTACACGAGAGCGTGTGCCCCTATATGTCTTGGCTAATCACCAAATACGCTAATAGCCGGCCAAAGTATTGCATAAAGAACAATGACTAAAATAACTGGACCCGTTAGACCAGTCTTGATAAAAAAAGAAAGGGAAAAAAAGCAAGCAAGGCTGTTTCGGGTAAAACAGCAGGGACCTATACGTCAACCTAGCCCTCCAGGACGTCGGACAGAGAATCCAGCAGAGAAACAGGGTAGGCAGAGGCAGAAGCGAGCAGATGTGGAGCACCAATAGGTCTAGTCACATATGCAACTTGATAGGAGTCCTCCCCCCCACAAAAAAATAGCTATGCGACGATGTAGCCATTCCCACTAGTCCAGGCCTGCGGAACACCTCCAACAGGTGCAAAATATGTAGATAGAAAAGTGGTAGAATACCCAGGGTCATGAGAACCACACATTCTACGCTAGCGCGCTCAGGCCGGCTGGGGGGCAGTTGTAATGCACAGGCACTATAATCGCCCGCCCTGTTAAACCTGTATCGACTATATCCACGAAAGGAAACGATATAAAATGTTATTACAGATATGTTAGAGCACGTATACATGAAATACGGCTAACCGGCTACGAGCTTCTCCTGTCACCGCCGTGGGGCTGGCTGGGCCGCTGAGGCACGCAGGTGAGACAGATCTATTTTGGATCTCCTTTTTGCACAAAAAGGAACGAGAGACGTGTGTGCTGGTTTATTAAGCATTTAGGGTATTTTAAGGGAAGGAATCGAGAATTCCGTGCTTAGCTGTTTACGTGCACCAAATAGTTAGGTCAGTTGACTCACGTAAGCCCTGCGCGAGCTGTGTACTACACAGGCGGCATCACCCTGATCACACACACGCCCTGAATTTGCATTTATCATTGGATGTCTAATGTTTTTAAGAGTGAATCGTGTAAATTTAAGTATAAATTAGCGCAATTCCATGATTTACATCTTCAATAAAGACATGCACGAGTGACTATTCGCCCGTTCCGCCCGCGTAATGGTGGGAACCCGAGAGAACACCGAAAGAGCTGTAGATTGTTCGGCGGACTTTCAGCTCATTTTTGGCTCTCTAGATAGTTTCTTTGATTCGAAGTATGCTCATAAGCAGTGAGTGCTATGCTGGTTAAAGAGCTGGGCGATGGGGGATGATTCATGACGCAGGGATCCCCACAGTTTCACTTGCGGGTGTTATTGGTTCAGTTTAACTTAATGCAGCACATCAGCAACACAGTATAGGCGTGAAGACGTCAATACGTTTCCTGCTCTGGGCCCATTCCGCGATGAATATAGTTGTCACTCCATCCGTCCACACTGTACGGCACCTGCAATTCGTCGTTTCGAACGTGCTCGTCGCCGGAGGGAACTTTGGGTAGAGGCTGTGCCATTTGCGTGTGCTTTTCATTCCAAACCGCAGCATCACAACCGTGTGCTTTCGAGGGGAGAAGGACGCCATCGTCTGCCTAAAGGCTCTGGCTGCTGAAGTTCACAATCAGCGCGGCTTCGTGGACTCTAATTCGCGCACTTCTCTCCTTATTTGCAACAAACAGGAACGAGAGGACGGTGCACCGAGTTGGATCTTTTGGGAGGAAGACAAAGCCATTCAGAACACAGTACCGAGGATCGCGGTGTACGAACGCGCAAATCACGGTGTTCGTGCCCTTGTTTCCTCTGCATGTGCTGCGTTGATGCGTCTGTGTATGTGTGTGTCTATCTCTAAGCGTGTATTATTCGATGCCTGAAGTGCGGTACGCGCCAAGCGATCATCCATGCATCCTACTCTCATGCCATATATTGGCATGCACACTCACCCGCCTTTTTTCTCTCCGAATACGAACCTAGTCCGTATGGTTGTATACGTTCGGCTAAGGATGACGCGTACGTGTGCTTGTGTGTCTGTAAATGCATTGGCGCAGGCTGGTGGAGTCATCTGACCTGATAGAGTTGAGGAAGAAAGCTGCCTTCTATCTTCAGTGCCTCAATCTGATTGGAAAGCTGTTCGACGAATTCGGCGGGGACCTGGATTGATATAGCTGGTGACATCTCTCCAGTACCTTTCGGGCATACGATCGCAGACTGGCAATTAGGGAAAGGGAAGAGTTAACCGCTGAAGCGAAACTCCACAGGAGGCAAGATGGTTGCCGTCAGGAGAAAGAGCACTGAAAATGGGCCGGCCAACGAGACCTCTCATCTGGCAAAGAAGCAGATGACAGAAGCGATAACTCACCAAGACGAAGTTTGTGTCAATACCATCCGAGCTTTTGGTGCGGATGCTCCGGCAGTAAGCATTCCTAGGAAGGGAACTGCAGCCACGGCACTAGGCATCCCCCATTATGGCTGTTTCATTCGCTTTGGCAGCAATTGTTTGTGGATTACAACGCCAAATAGGTGCATTCCTTGCAGCAGGTTGCGCATGTGCGCTTGCGCATTCATTTGAATGTAAATGCATGATCATCATGTTGAGCTTTTGTCCTGGAGTTAACTAATGTGTTTTGCATCCTTACAGTCTGAGAGTTAAGTTTGCGTATTCTTCTTAGGTGGCGAAAAGCGGACACCCTGGGGCTCCCATCGGTTGTGCGCCGATGGCCCATTGTCTGTTTGGCCATGTCATGAAGTATTACGCTAAGGATCCCAGGTGGTTCAACAGAGACCGATTTGTTCTCTCCAACGGACATGCATGTGTGCTTCAGTACACGATGCTCCACCTTGCAGGTTCGTGTTGATTTCTTACATTCTTTTGGAAGTGGAATTGAGACCATGCGCTTGTCCTTAATTTACTCCCCTGTTGAGTTGTCTTTGCCTTTCCACAACAACTCTCATTGCACATGTATTTTAGCATATCCGTTTGCATCTCTTGGGATTAACTGACTGTTCTTTATATTTTGAGACCAAATGGTATCGCTTAGCATAAATCGTTTCATCGGTTTGCTATTTAGTGTTAAGCACAGACGACAGACGTCCAGTCCACAAGGTGTGGGAAGCAGCATGGATCCTTCAGCAGCAAATGGCTGCTTCTGTCCAACTACGACTCTCTCAGTGCTACATATATACCTTTATGAGGTGAATTGAGGGTCTGAGGTGCACTTGTTATGCCATACTTCGCCTGCAGGATACGACCTCTCCATTAATGACATCAAGAAGTTTCGGAAACTCCACAGCAAAACACCAGGCCATCCTGAGGTTGGGCACGCACCAGGGATTGAAGTGACTACTGGTATGTTTTACGCCCGTTGTCTCAATTGCCGCTGTGTTCCTATGCCGCTTTGTTTGTCCCTCCCAGTGTCGTTGTCCTGCGTATGCTGTCTTTACCCGCCGGTCTACCGGTTTTTTGTCTTGCGTGGGTCCCTGTGTGCGTCACGGCCTGCTTGTTGGCTTCGCCTTTTCGACTGCTCGGCACGTGCTGCTTCTTATTTTGTTCCCGCTTACCGTTCTGCCGGCAGTTGGGTGTATTTCCATTCCAGTGTGTGCCTAGTGATATGCGTTTGTGGGTCACCTTATCTCTGCCATTCAGTTCCCATGTAGTTCTGCCAGCTTGCCTATGTTGTCATGCTATGACAGTCCCCAGCCGAATGCCCCGCCTTCACGTGTCGTCACATGCGTATGCCCTCTTTATTTTGCCTTTAGGCCCTCTAGGCCAGGGCATTTCAAACTGTGTAGGTTTGGCGATCGGTGCTCATCATCTCGCTGCAAAGTTTAACAAGCCGAATTTCGATTTGTTCAATAACTTTATTTACTGCATATGCGGAGACGGATGTTTACAGGAAGGTTAGACAAGGGTAGCTAGGGAGTTGCTCCCCGAAGTCAGTCTTCCTGCCATTCGCCGTTTGTAGGTGTTATGGTGGGAATCAGTAAAACTGTTGCGAACGTGTTGGAATGCCTGCTGTTTTGCATTTGGCGTCTAGGTGTTGCCAGCGAGGCTTGCTCGTTGGCAGGCCACTTGGGTTTGGGCCGTCTAATTGTTCTATATGACTCCAATAGTGTGACGATAGACGGCGACACATCGCTGAGCTTCACGGAGAACGTTATCCAGAGGTTCAACTCCTACGGGTGGCACACGCAAACGGTTAAGGACGGCGATAGAGATCTTAGTGCCATTTTACAGGTGGGGAGGGCCATGAGTGAATGGGGCAATTTGTGGGGGAGTGCAGAGAGCATATGTAAGAGTGTCGTTAGAGATGGGCAATCGGGTAGCGAAGTGCTAGCGGGGAGGCGAAAGATGAAGATAGAAGATAGGAGCGCATAGTTCCTTTCGATTGAACGTTTTGTTCACAACTACTTCTGTTCATAACTACTTCGTGCAGTGGACTCAAAGCCTTTGCATCAAGGCCAGTTGCCACAGCCGTGATAAGGGTATCATCATCAGCTCCCCCGAGTGTGGTAAGTGTGTGCTTCGTGTTCAGGCTATTAAAAAGGCGAAGGCTGTGACAGATAGGCCCTCTCTCATCGAAATAAAAACAACAATAGGGTGGGGAAGTCAGAACGAGGGGACTGAGAAAGTTCATGGAGCTCCTTTGAGTGCCGACGACATAAAACAACTCAAGGTGAAGCTGGGGCTCGACCCAAACGAGAGCTTTCAAGTGCCAGAAGAGACGAGGAAGGTGAGAAGCAGTTGGAGGGGTGCGGGCAGGTTTTAGGGTTTTCCAGGAGTACCAGCTAGCGAGCTACTGCATTTACGAACAACGCAACTACAGACTTCTTCGCCACAGCCTAGGGAACGATAATAAGTGTACCGCCTTCCCGAATTGGCGTGTTCTGTGTGAATCAGTTCTACGCTGATGTTGCCGCCCGCAACAAAGCTGAATACGAAGCGTGGCAGTCTCTTTTCGCTAAGTATGGGGAATCGTATCCCGATGAAAAGCGAGAAATAGAAAGGATGTTTGGCAGAGAAGTAAAGGACCAGGTTGAAGCTGCTCTTCGTGATATGGCCAAGGCAGCAGCAGACACCCCGGCCTCTACACGCGTTCTCTCGGGCAAGGCTCTTAATGCCATTAAAGACTTCATGCCAGAGCTTGTAAGTGGACGGCTGTAAGTGCCTTGCATATACAAAAGCGTCGAAACTTGTGCTTGCGTAACTTGTTATCGGCGATGCCTGATGCAGCAGCTCCCCGCCCCTCGTCTGCACGGCCCCGCTGCATCCAAGCCGTTACCCCTTTTTGCGTGATTTCTTCGTGTGTCTTGTGGGGGTTTTGCTGGTAGATCGGTGGTAGTGCGGACCTGACAACGTCAAACGAGACGCGGCTAAAGGGCGAATCTGTGTTTTCCCCATCTTCGAAAGTTGGCTCGTATGCTGACCGTTACATCCATTTTGGGGTGAGGGAGCATGGGATGGCTGCCATTTGCAACGGGCTGTATGCCTATGGGTGTTTCCGTCCTTTCGGGGCTACGTTCCTGAACTTCGTAACTTACGCCTGGGGGGCGGTGCGGCTAGCTGCCCTTTCGAAGCTTGGCTGTCTATTCATAGCCACGCACGACTCTATTGAACTGGGAGAAGATGGGCCGACACACCAGGCAGTCGAGGTCATTCCTCTCTGTAGGGCATTGCCCAACATGCTTTGCATCAGACCAGCAGGTACGCAGCATAAGAATATTCGTGCATTGACCTAGTCTCTCGCAACAATTGATCCATGCATAGCTCTGATTCACAAGAGGTGTTCGTGTATTGCAGATGCGAACGAAGTGGCGGCGGCTTACATGCTCTGGTTAAGGCATTCAACGGGTCCTACAGTCATGTGTTTGTGCCGTGGAAGTATCCCCCCCATTGCTGGAAGTTCAGTGGAAAAGGCATTGAAAGGAGGCTATATTGTTTCTGACTTCTCTAGCTCGGGATTACCCCAAGTAAGACTATCATAGTGGGTCTTGATCCTGAAGAGACATGCTCTTTCTTTTCGGTATTCGAAGCCGGCAGACGACAGTTGGCGTTTCTCTCGTGCCCTTCTTTGTCGCTGACTGTCTTGGAAATGTACCCATGAATGTCGCTTCCCCCAGGTAATAATTGCTGGCTGCGGCTCGGAGTTGCAGTTTTGCTTAGAGGCGAAGCAGCTTCTGGCGAACTGCGATGTACGCGTCGTCTCCATGATGTGTTGGGATACATTCGAACAGCAGCCGGAGGCGTACAAAGAAGAGGTCCTGATGCAAAAGGAAAGGAAGCAGGGGAAAGTTTTATGCGTGTATGTTGAAGCCGCAGCGACCCTAGGTACGCCTGGGGACCAAGGGGTTTCGAGAGAGGGGACGATAGGAGAGGAAGTACTGCTGTGGAATAAATGCATTAGCGTACTTCAGTCCCTAGTCATAGTGTGGTTTACACACTATGACGGTTCATTGCAGCGTTGTTTGGTTCCTTCTTGCCCCCTGCGTATGTTTGAATGCCCTCACAGCAGTGTGACTAGTACTATGACAACTTTCTGTGCGTTCGTGCATTGCCCAGCGCCCTACCCTAAATGGTGCACGTAAATCTATGAATGCGCACGCATGTTTCCTCCACTGCGTCTGTCATGTGTGCTGCACGTCCACAACACAGGCTGGGATAAGTTCTTTGACGTGCACATCGGAATGAAGGGTTTTGGCGCCAGCGCCCCGCGTGCAGATATTTGGAAAGCGTTTGGCTTTACCGGCGAGAACGTCGCAAAGAGAGTCAAGGAGGCTCTAAAAAATTAGACGGTCATCATGCAGAGCAGGGTACTGCAGAGGTTTTGGCAGCTCGCAGTGACCGCGCCTGCAGGCATGTCGCCTGTGCATGAGTGCATTGTTGTTACTACCAATGACGCTTGGGGTCAAAGCAATTCGGAAGTTGATGGGAGAAATGCATTTTTTCCTCTCGCCCCGTTTTTCCTCTCCAGCTCATTGGAACCAACCGCAGTGGCGGAGTCCCGGGCGTCAACCTATTTCACTTCCAGTGTACATACAGCACGGAGTACTACCTCATGACAGTTCATGGCGTACGTAGCTAGTGGAGAAATGTAGCTGCTGCGTTTGTGCCGGCATACAGGAGCACCTTGGCTTACCATTTAGCTACTCTGGTCCCGTACCTACCCGGAACTAGTGGATCCACCGCTAGGGATATAATTAGCGTCAGTCTCGAGGAGCCCGCAGCATGCCGCGCATGCAGCTAGCTGTATGCTCCCTTGTATAGTGCACGGCAGACTTTTTTGCTTCAACAAATAACGGCACTTATGCCACTTGCAGCTGTCTGTGGATTGGGATAAAGTCTCTCCAGATATATACTAATACGGCGACGAATGAGAGCGCCTTTCCCCGTAGGACCGTAAAAAATTTGTACTTTAGCAACAAAACGCGGAGTGCAACCCATTAATCAGCATTACTCAAGTTTGTTTTGGAGGAAGGCCAACTTCGACAACCGGGGGGGGCAGGCGCTTGTCCTTTAGCGACTTCTCGGTGCAAATCTTGTACATCTGAGGGAGCGAACAAGAAGGTCGGACTGAGCGTTTATTCTGCAACACGTTTGTCATCTAATTCGATTCGATGGCTTGTGGTGGTGGACTGGCCAGAATTGGTGCAGACATGCCCCTGTCCCCTGGTGCAATGCCGATAGAGAAGCTGCAAAACCCTCAGATCTCCCGTGCACAAAAGGAATGTGACCACGCCGGAGGATGTCCCCCCTTTGTTACGGTCTACTTGATGGTACGCTGTATACGATTACAGTGTCGAGACGATAGTGAATCTCGTACCTCCATAGCTTTGCTGCACTTCTCTTTCATGTGTGTGTGCCCATCATCGGTACAAGCTTCCAGACACTCGAAGAGCACACTTGCTTGCCTTTCGCATCCTGCGCGTTATAAAGGTGATTCCAAAAGGCATGCAATAGCAAAACCACCAGTGTGCCAGCGCAGATGGGCAAAAAGCGTAGCAGCCCATCCACAGTAGTTTAACGCGTACTCTGCCTCAAGCGAGCGCACATAGGACCACCTGAACCTAATTTCTGGATTTGGCACGTACCTTTCCTCACAATTGGGAAGTAAGGGGGAAACACCAGCTTGTTGGGCACTTCCATATCACCGGAAGACAACATTTCCCCGCTGCGGGGAAAGGAGATCTCCAGCCCTAATCACTGGTCGTGGTAGGTAGCTCCAGTACTTATGAGGGGGAAAATCCCGTTGCCTAATTAAAATTGACTGAGGGACTTCTCAACATCTAGGCAAATTGTGGGAACTGACCCGCCTGCAGCTCCTCGTCGAGGCCGAGCACTTTCGTGTACCAGTAGCACCCAGGTATCAAGAGCTTCGTCGCTCAGCAAAGCTTGAACGCACGAAGGCAGGCAACTCTCTTTCTAAGAAACAACGGAAATGTGTGGACGGCAGTCCACGGAGAAGCTCCTCACCTAGCGACACCGCGCAAAGCGCATGCAACTTGCCAGCCCCTCAGCGTGTCAAACGGCAATGCAGGTTGTATTAAACTCTCTCGACGAGTGAATGAGAATCTAATTTGATAACTAATTTTCAGTAGTTCTATCACTTCGCTTAGGAGGCGCTTTTGTGCGGTCCCCCCGCCTTTGCTCGTTGCCGAGGCGTGCTTCTGGTTGCTCCTTGCCGACACGTTGTGCAGTAGTTTGAGAAAATGTCCGGCAACTTTCAAGATTGGACACCCGTAACGTTTCAGAAAACAAGCCCTGGTGGTAGGCGCGTCGTGAAGGAGCAAGAAGTAAACAAGGCCCGGAGGGCGGGGGAGGTCATCGAGACAGAAAAGAAATGTGCGCAGGGCGTGAATGCGCGTTTACTTGGGCCTGCTCCAAGTATCCCGAACATTTGATTTGCTTTTCGCTTTCTACGCGGCACGGATTCCACTGAAACACCTCAAGGACTTCCCTACACGCAACCAGTCGTTCGTTGTTATTCGCATTTGGCCCATGTAGTATTAACGTTGTGACGTCAATTTGTCCACTTATCACTTGTTCGTTCTCTGTTCGGTGCAGTTTTAGGGGGCCGAAATAAAACAACGAAGGCAAACTCGATCGCGAAGTGAGCAACCAGTTTAAGCAATTGGCCCCTAGGCCGCTATATGCTTATGGGGCAATGTCTCGTGTGCATGTCCACTATGGTCCTTGCTGCTCGTTCCTTAGTGTGCTTGCATTGCTATTTGCCTTCTGCATACGTAATCTATGTCCCCGTTCGAAAGCTCGTAGCGTAGCATCCATGATTTGCCTGTCTGTACATATGTTAGGCCGTCTGCCAGACTACATTGTCGCTCTTTGGGATTCAGCTGCCCTTTTTTCGTTCATCTCACATTATTTATTTGTGTTTTCTTTTCTAGCCTTTTTTCCGGTTTCAATTTGGTGCTGGCTTTGTGCTTTTGTCGAACTTTCTCTGGCAAGTTTGAGCCCATGTTTACTGCCGCCTTCACTGGTTTGTCTTCGCTTCTTTGATAGCTTCCAGCGCCTTTGCGACATCTTTGGCAGGCTGTGGTGGAAGTGTAACCACAGACGTTTTTGGCAATGATGCAGGCGAGCGTTCGCGAGCAGAGGCATGTGGTCTTCATGTCTTTGCAGCCTCTCTGTTGCTTCTGTTGTCTGTCTTACTTTGTATCCATCTGTAGTGCCAAAAAAGTGGAGGAAGACACGGGCGACTACCATGTTGACCGAGTTTCCACGGACTTCTCCCGCGCGTTGGCGCAGGCACGGAGGAACAAGGGCATGACACAGGCTCAGCTGGCGCAGGCGATAAACGAGAAGCCGTCGGTTGTGAGCGAGTACGAAAGTGGGAAGGTAAGCAGCCTGAAGACTTCTTTCACTTCTAGTGCTGCGCAGTGTATAATTGCAATTTGGATCCCGAGTAGCATTTAGACGGGGAGCTGCACAGAGGGACAGGCAGATTTCTAAAGGCAGATTCAGTACGCGCCCACGGATTGTAAGGCGAGGATTAAGAATGCATTGGTGTTCAGTTGTGCTTGCTTATTGTAGCTCAGTTGCAAACCCCCCGCTGAGGGTCATACTGAGTGTAGGCCTACGCGAGGAGTAGACTGGTTGTGTGTGGTGGTTTGTTTTTCCCTTAGGCTATTCCTAACGGTGTGATTTTACAAAAAATGAGTCGTGCGCTGGGAGTCCAACTTCCAAAATGCAAGCAAAAGAAAAGAGTGGCAGATGAATGAAGCACTTGACGACGCTTCTAGGGTTAATTAGCTCATTGCTGTATACAGCGTACTGGCATGGAGTTTTGCTTCACGTGCTCACCTCGTATAGTGGGTGGGCACGGATGGGAGCTATTATCAGTCGAACAACTATTAGGCTTATACAGCCAAATAGCTGTTTTATTTGTTTGTTCGATGTAGTTTTACTCGTTATCTCCGGAAGTCGAGAGAAGGGATCTTACGCGCTTCTTATACGTTGACCATATATGTGGAGTCGGTGACATCTAAAGTATAGAACGCACATACGCTCGTCCTTTTTCCTGACTCTGCAGGAGACGTGGGCAGACAGACGGGCTGCTCGAAACATCAATTTCCCCTGTTTTCATTAGTAATACTGACCTGTTTAGGGGCCGCACTCCACAGTATGTAGACATAGGATGACGGTAGGAAAGATAAAGCAAAAAGGCAAAAGTTATTGCAGAACGTAGATGTGTGAGTGGTAGAGGGATATTCTATTGTAGTGGAGTGATTCACGGGAGAATCCCATTATCTGTGGCAGTTGTTGTACCCGGGGGAGTTCGGTTAAACGAACGGGAGTGGTCTACGAATCCGTAGAATGGCTGGTATGACTGGTATATGAATGGTGATACGGTAACGTGCTAGCACGTGTAGTTTCGAAGTTGTGCTTAGACCAGCGTTGTATTCGTCAACGCTACGCGAGAAAAGGCTGGACACCGTGGAGGATGTGGCGCGCAAGTCAAATGAAGGGCTGAGCATGAACAGCTACGGTGGATACAGAGTAGAGCACTGCAATTAATTGTCGAATCTTGCTGTGCTGGATCCCAACAAACAGCGCAGTATTGGGTGACTGGGGAGGTGCGAGGGACTATAGGCGAATGGTCGCTTTGTCTTCGTGGGTGACTGACCATAGGTGTCACTTTTGAACTCAAATTCAACAGAGATATTGTGAGGGTTTCGTGGCTGACGGAGCTATCTTTCTTCCAGTGTTTTCCGTACGGTCAGCTGCAGGGAATAGCAAGCGGTAGCTTTCATTTCTTGGGCAGGCAGGCGTTGATATGGAGAAGCTGCCCGTACTTATATATAGGTTGACAGATTCACAATTTGGCCGTTACAGTCGTGCAGAACAAGCGTGTAATAGTGAGGAATCCCATACATATGTCTAGTTGCCAAGCCCCTGCCCGCAGGAGCTGGGTTAGCCAGAGCTAAAAACTGCGCAGTACAGGAGGGCCCTGGTCAAGTAGGCCTAAATTTGTATGAAAGAGATCACCACCATAGCGAAAATAACGAAGACGAATGCTAAGGGAACCAACAAGGAAAATGTACAGCAAGCTGTAAAGGTGAGCCTCCTGCCGGAATCGAACCGGCGACCTTCCGCTTACTAAGCGGATGCTCTACCGACTAAGCTAAGAAGGCATGGTGTCGTCTGCAACATGTTGCGGTTAACGAAGGAGGTAAAGTGCAGGTATTCAACTTTCTCCTCATATATGTATGTAGTAAATATATCTCATGATATCTTTCCTGCCATGATGCTTCTTCCTCGGCACGACCACCAAAGTCCTCACCAGGACGGGCAAAGAGCGGCTGTTCCCCGCAGTAACCCGTTATATCTAGTAGAAAGTAGTAATGGATTATCTTCTTTAATAATAACAATAATACCCCAAGAATAATGCATGTGCTTAGTTGTATGCATCTCATGTAGCTGATGAGACCACCGTGATGAGTGTCGGGATGGCAGTTGCTGCGTTGATGAGGAGGACGCCGACGTACAGCGAAACCCCCAATATTGTGCTGCATTATCAAAGTCGTGCTTTACACATGCAATTTAAATGATTAATTAGCTCAACTTCCCAGTTGAATAGGGGTAAATTTACCCCATTCAGCGAATCCCGAAATCCCACTACTTTCAAACATGACCACCGCCGGTCCACTCGTTAGCTGAGTGGGAAAGCGTGCCCTACCACTTAAGTAAACTAGCACACAAGCCTGTTGTATTATTATAAGTATGCACACCTACAATGTTGAGCCATAAAAGCACTTTTTACCTTAATGGCAGCGTGCCCGTCGCTTTTCGTGGCTTTGATGTCTCGTCGCTTGCCGCCGGCGCGGAAAGGCAGCTCAAACGGCTTCCGCCGATGATGGTTTTGATGTGAACGTACGCATGTTATGAACAACGTCTGGTTCCTTTATTGTATCTCGTTTTGGAATCACCTGGGCTGAATGCCGTTTGTCAACGCAAAGCTATTACAGGTTCCCGTCAGAAGGGTGGGTTTCCACTTCTCGATGCCAATTGGCAGTCTTCGTCAGCTAAGCTCTACATGTGCTTGCTTTTTGCATTCGATCGGCCAATTTATGTGTTTATGACTTTGTAGCAGCAGCAGTTGTTCAGAGTGTGGAGAGAAAAGCGCTGACAGTAACTGCTGAAGAAACCTGAAGGCGAGCTAGGGAGCACGTGTCTTTCGTTGTCCACCATTCCATTCAGAGCTTCGTTGAGAATTCTCCTCAGCACCCTTTTCCTTGCTTCTATAATAGTCAGTCCCATCTTTTGTTGACAGGGGCGTTGTCTTATTCCTTCGCGCACTTGCAGTTCTCCGTGCCCTCAAGCCGCACTAGAAGATGTCGTCCATGGTTGCTCTGCACATTTCCCGTTTGCGCCAGGCGTTGCTGGCAAGCGTTATAGAGGCAGGGGAGGCCTTGAAGAAAGCTTTCAGGGCTGACGGGGCTTCGAGGGTCTCCCAGGTTGTCCCTTCCTTCGTAGACGGTCCACGTACACAGCATGATGAAGCGATACTACCCACGACAACAGCAGCACCCCAGAGTTCTTCACAGGTGTGTCTTATGGCTTCCGACCTTCCTGCTCCCAGAGATGTCTCCGAACAGGGCAAAACGACGGCGTCTGCCGTCGCCTGCGACCGTCCGTTCGAGCATGCAGCCCCACCGAGGGACGGTTTTGCAGGTTCGCGCAGTAGTAGGAGCTCCTCAAGAACCTTTGACAGTCGATTGAACGAATCAGAGGGTTGGTTTCTCACAGATATGATCTCTGGGTGCGAAGAGGGGAAACTGCGTGCCTACCGGATTCGAAAATGCACCAATGGCAGTGGCAGCAGAAGCGCAAGCAACGCAAGCAGCCGCAGTAAAGATCATGGAAGCATGATAATGGTCTCATCAGTCGAGTCTTTACTGTCTGTAGACAGAAATGCAGAAGACGTGGACGGTCTCAGTAGCGGTGGGTCATCCAAGGACGAGGAGGACAGCGGGTCAATGCCTGCCATTTCTGGCTGTGGTGCGCATCCTTCAACTGGCTCAATGATGACAGGAGACATTGTTCTCCCTCATGACGCACAACAGATGGAGGATCACACTGCAACTTTCCTTTCCGAATTGGAGAGGCAGTTTAAGAACGAGACAATCTTTATCAGCGACCGTAGTGGAGTGAGGCTTTATATGATCGACGCAGGACATGGCTGGAGCAGCTACCCTTCTCTAGAGGTAAATACAAGCGAGCAAAGCGTGGGGTAGCTAGAACGGGAGAGTTAGTACGTCATGGTGGCCTCCCTGACCTACCTGCACCATTGTGTTGGATGTGCACTGCGTGATATTAGCTTCAGTGCATGTACTCAGTACGTATACATTGTACTTTTATGTTGACACTCGTGGCATTGCCAGAGCATTGTATCGTTGTAGATTCCGTTTGCATACGCATTCGCCACTCCATGGCTCGGTATTCGTCCCATTGTCTTTCTGTGTCTCGATGTAACTCCAGATACCTTACATATCATTAGACGTGAGCGCACGTGCTTGCAACGACACAGTTAGCGTGTGAGCCCACATGTGTAGTAGTCGTGCAGTATAGATACAGATGCAGCCGTCCAACAATCAGGTGAACGTGAGCAAAGACCTGTATGCTTGTTTTAAACGGTCCCATGCCCTTTCCTTTCAGCATCTTCTACATTTCTTGGGTGAGGCTGTCAAGGTCTTCGGCGGTGATCACCTACGGGGGACGAAGTATTTGCTGCCCGTTGACGAAGCGGAGGTTTTAGTGGGTGAATTGCAAAAGTTAGCGCCGTCATCCTGGAAAGACATAGCTAGTGCCGCGAAGGCAGGTGAGGAAAGTAACCTGTCTGCACCCATTGAGGAAGCAGGTCGTATTTAATTCACGTCTGGAAGTAAGAGCGCCGTTAGATGGCATTGTTCTAGGGTGGTTCGGCAAGCATTTGGGGCCAACTTCTGGGGGCATGTCGACATGATGCTTTTCTTGAGCTGCATGCGTGTCTTAATTGCTTCTCCTCAGCTAGCCCACAAATTTTGTTCGCAATCGCCGCACGTCTTGTTCTCGTCGAGTTGAGAGCAGCGGCAGTTGCTTGGGTTACTGAGGTAGGAGCAGTGACAGTGACAACTGCCAATGGATCTGCCGCTGCTGTGGGAGCGGCAGCAGCAACAGTGGGGGAGACGGCATCAGCAGCAACGGGTGCAGCCAGTCTATGCACTATTGGTTCTGCAGCACTCGCAGCCGCACCTTGGGTGATTCTGGTTGGTGGTATTGCCTGCGGGGCACTATGCTTTATACGTGAACTACGCAATGCAGAATGGAAGGTTTCTCGGTTTCACACCGATGAGACCGGGCATAGTAAACAGAAGGAGGACGTGCCGCAGGGAGCATTCAGCGACCATTGCATCGTCAAGTGGGGCCAAGCAGCAGGTCAATAGTTGGGGGAGACTCTACCCAGAAAAAAGTTGGGATACACGGATGCGATGCGCCTATGGTGGTTGCATACCTGTCAGAAGTTGTGATGCCCCCAGATATCATTCTTCGTCACGAAGGGTTTGCATCAGAAATTGCGGGAGTAGCTGTTAAGGTGCTTCAACCGCAGCGACTGGCGCAAAACAAGGTTGCAACTGCTGCGACAGGAGCAGAATATATTGTTGTTCTATTGTATTGGAGTAAAAACAGGAGGATTGCGTGAGTGCTTGTCTTGAGCGCCAATTTGCGTGTATTGGTATTGTTTGGCGCTGCTGGTGCACATTGTTCGGCGTTGCTGGTGCTTTGGGCATCATTGCTGCCTCTGGCGCACAAGGGGCTCAACAACAGGAGGACGTGCTTTGGGATCATTGGTTTTCACTACTGTTGTGCTGCTTCATTAGCCTGTTTAATGGAATTTGGGAATATTTTGTGAATGTATCACTTGCATCACTGCAATCCATGTATTGCGGGAGATGTGGAAACGTATGCAAGGGGAGGGAAGGAAACTGCGAAAGGCCGAGTAGGAGCTCTGAGCTTCAACTCGCAGCAGTCTGAATCCACGTAAATTAGTGCCGATTGACGAACGAGAACGTCCTAATTTGCGTGGTGCGTGCTTCCAGCGTTTTGCTATGGAACGGTTGCCTGCTACAGGGGACCTGTACCTTAACCACAGTATGAGGAGAGCGGGTTGGCTAAGCTGCTCCAGGCCTCGAGGTTGCTGAAGTTCTTGTCAGCCCTGCGTAGAGCAGGGCTGCCAACAAGGGGCTGAGGCTGTAGCGTGCACTGGTCTGTTAAGTGGATCGGAATCATATAGTGCAGTAGCGAACTGGAAGAGAGTAGGCTTTCCCGCACGCATATAGCACGCCTATGGGATTTAGCTCTATGAGATGCCACCGAAGGATGGAGGAGGAGAGGAAGCATCAAAAGCATGGGATTCCATAGTGAAATGCGTTGGATGCGGTTTGCACGCAAACACAAGCGTGCGCAGGCGTACAAGCTATGGCAGGAGAGGCAAGCTTCGGCCTTCGCATAGAGCGAACCTATCTGCATTGCTGTCTTTTTCAGGAGCCTGCATGCGCTGAACCACGAAGTTTACTGCACTACAAAATAAATTTTACAGCTACGCGGCCACCATCAGCCAACGCTCACGTAGGGTATCGGCTTGCCAACTGCTGAGCAGAAGAGCTGCCGGCACTCTTACAAGATAGACGGGAATAAACGGGCTTGTAAATTCTTGCAAAGGGGATTGGAATGCATTTTGTAACATGGGTTGGAGTGGCGGTTGCAGCGACGCAACGAAGGCCGCCTTCTCTCCCGATCAGCCTCATTACCTTACTATGCTCTCCACATGCGGCCTGGTAAAAGCATGGATTGCCTTCTTTCGTCAATTCTGTTTGTACTAAGTGTTGTTAGCCCTCTGGCGCTAGGGGAGATCCCTGTTGAATACAGAGGAGCCCATCTGCAACTCCCGTTTCGCTGTACAACGAAGATTCGGTGCACAGGTCACCTGGAGACGTGAAAGAGATTCAGTTGTTTTTTGTGAAATAGTACCTTATTTATAATTTTTTATTCGTCTGCAACTCTGGACAGGCCACTGCGAAGTCTCAGGACTTTAACGGTTTGCTGTGTCTTGCTAGCAAATGGTGTCGCCTCAGGGCAGACCGTGCGCTCCGTATTAAATGAAGAATTAGTAGTGTTTACAAAACAAATAGATTTGGCTGATCAGTTGCCATTTTAATTCTTTTATTTCTTTTTTGGGTGTCGTACCAGCCGCTACTAAACCTTCCGGGCTGCTCAGTCCCACCAGGCCGCTATGTGCACCGTGGAGCACCTGGTGGCCCCTAGGGGAGTGCAGAGCACTTCTTTTGGAATATTGTGCTTGTTTCACTAAGATATGTATTATTTGTGTACATAAACAAAACTGCGTACTAAGGAGAACAGAAGCCTATTTCGCTGCTCATCTGAGCGGCTCACACTGGCTGCCGGCCCCGGGGTGTCGTAGTGCAGGGGAAGGGTTAAGTTGAAACGCTCTTTTGGACCCTCTCAGGGGGCCTCATTCTCGAGAATTTGAGTTTATTGGTGAGCCTTTGGAATCTAGATAGATGCGTGCTTCCCCGTGCATTTCTCTGACATCGGGGCCCTGCACAAGGTTTTCTCTTAGACACCTAAGGAAAGTCCCGCTTCTGTCCGCTATTTTGAATTCCGATTGCGTCTTTCCGTGTGTTTGTCCATCTTTCTGGTCATTTGAAGTCCCTCACTGTTCGAATAAATGGCCGTTTCACAACCCTCCACAACAGCCCAGCCCCGCCACGGGTAGGCTCTCAGCGATCTTCCGAGATCTGGAGCATTTGCGGGCGCTTATCCCGCAAATTGTCCAGTCCTTGTCCTTCAAATCTACATTGTGTGCTTGGTTGTGGCGGCTTATGGAAGGAAATGGCTGATGCGCCGCCTTCCAGGGGCCTTCTGAGTTTAACTTCCGAACTCCTTGTCTTAGAAGGTGCATTGTGTCGCTTTCCGGTTTTTTCAGGCAACGAAAATTGACCATTGTGCATCGTTGAACTCGTTTGAACTGTGCTGCATGTGTCCTCAGGGCTGCATCTGTCATCTCCTTTTTCTGGGGCTCCGAGGATGTGGGACAGAAAGTTTGTAATCCGCAATGCGGATATGCCTGATGAAATGCAGCAGGATGCGATCGACTGCGCGAATCAAGCTTTGGAGAGATATAATATAGAAAAGGATATAGCGGCACACATCAAGAAAGAATTCGACAGGAAGCACAACCCCACCTGGCATTGTGTTGTGGGCAGGAACTTCGGTTCCTACGTTACCCACGAAACGCACAACTTCATCTACTTTTACATTGGTCAGGTGGCGGTTCTTCTATTCAAGTCCGGATGAGATGAAACGAGCACTACGAAAGGGATCTTCGAGAACTCCCTCCCCTCGTAATTGCCCTCCCCCCTTAGTTTCTCTCCTCATATATCTCCCCTGTGTTTCTATTAACAGACCTTGCCGCAAGACAGGTCTGCCTTGCTTAAGGCAGGTCTGTTTTGAGGACTTTATGGGGGAGACTTTAGTAGCCGCAACGCGCATCCCCGTGCTCGTATGCATACATGAGCAATGTGCATACATCTGTGTATGCACAAGACACCAGCTGATTTTTAGTGTAGTCGCTCTCTTCGCTGGCTTCCCGGAAGAGAGGAAAGTGCGATGAGACAGTGCCAGACGTTGACACAGTAACTAAGGTTCGACGAGTGACAGGAGGGACCATCCGGTTCTCAATTTTCGCCTCGGTCTTTTAAGATCTTTTCTGCGCTTCGCTCTTACTCAAGTGCACTTTAAAGATATATATATGTTTAGGCGTTTTGCTGAGAATTGCAGGAGAAGGGTTATGAGGAGCTGCGATAACAAGCGGGTTACTGATGGAGTGACACTGCAGAGACTGAGTGATGCCTGCGAGCAACAGCCGATAGCTAGGAGGGTAAGGGCAACAGCTGTAGTGCCCAGCAGCCTGCTCAGGGGTTGCGGAGACGTCTGGGCTGAAGTCGCTCTCCATGTCTCTCAGTTCAAGCAATTGGCACTGTCTTGTTGTCGGTTGTATACACTCAACTTAGCAGGGCTCACACTAAAAGGGAACGGAGGGTGCCCGCCCAGACTCACGAAGGCAACACTGATGTGCCCGCCACATTCACAACGGCCGTAGAGTGCAGAGCAGCGGGTAAAGATGAAGGATGGTTTGTCAACAAAAGTCAAGGATAAATACACAGGCGAAAAGCCGCCTTCCTTTTCCCACAAGACAAATAAAAGCGGCAAAATTGAGTAGAAGGCCAACGTACTCGGCGGTGGCAATTCTACAACGACGGATCGCCCTCTACCCTCGGGTTCATTGAACTACCTTCTTGCCGTTTGAAAACTACTACGTCGGCAAAGGTCATGTTCTGCAGTTAGGGTCGATCCCTTCTCAAGGTGTCGCCTTCAACATATCATTTGTTTCTATTCCCTCTGCCACAGTTGTATCTTCGTCCATGCCCAAGTTCATATCGAAGCTCGCCTCATGCGTGTGTGATTCACTACTGAATGAAGCGGTGACGTCAATCTCGCCGGCTCTTAAAGAGGACAAACGAAGGCTCCTCCTTTCTCTGAGCATGTCTGCCACAGTTCGTCCATTAACAGACCCCACTAATTTAGTAGTGAGGTACGCCATGAGCAGAAACGCCGCAGACAGCCAAACGTCCCACACGATGTTTCCAACTGCAGTGCGCTTCAACTCACGGTGCTGCGGCTCCCCTACCTTCTGCCAGAGCAGCTGTAAGTAAGTTATGCGTCCTTCCCCACCCTCTTTTTCTGAGCCGTGCTTGTCATTTGCCACGGCTGGCACACCCAGGTCCCCTATCTTCTTTACCTGTGCACCGACGCTGGCAGTTGCTACTTTCGACGGCTGACCACCAGTGCTTCCATCCGCTGGCTCTGCTCCCTCGTGACCGGTGTTATCCTGCGTCGCTGCCTCTGGAGCACTGGTCTCTTTGCCAGCTGTCTGCTCTGCCTTACGAACTGTCTCGTCAGTTGGGTTCTCCCTTATGCCTTGGGAAGGATGAGCATCCCTTGCTGCCCGTGCAATGCCTTGCTGCCCGTTTACCCCAGAAGTTTCCCCTTGCATACTCAGCACTTTGTGAAAAGGGCGGAAGTGTCCTCCCACGTCCTCAAACGTGAATATCAGTTCTGCCTCGCTCTGGAACAGCAAACCTAGCGTGATGCGTCGTTTGTTGCTTAGTGTGGTCACTGGGACGTAGATGACGAGCCTGTCGTCACTTTCTATGAAGGTGATCGCACCTTCAGTCCTGTGCTTCCTGCGGTCTTTCCCCCCTTTCGCGTACAACTGGAGCATTTCAGAGGCAATTGTATCAAGCAACTCCATTTGCTTGGGGTCCCACCCGCGCAAGGCAATATCCGTTGATTTCTTTGCTTCTTTGGATCTCCCCGACACCCCGACAGGGAATGACACCCTACACTCTCTTTTCAAGTTGAAAATAGACAGCTCCGGCGCTGCCTTCTCTGCCCGCTGCACAAATCTGTCGTTAGACCGAATGAGAGAATGAAACGCCGCATTTAGCCCCAAAGTTGGAATCATGGCCAACACGAGACCGATCACCCCACGACGGACCACGTCCAATCCGTCCATCACCACTGCAAATACCACACACCCCAACGAGCAATGGATGCTCGCTTTGTCTTGAGCGCATGCCTAGTAGATAATGTACTCTGATGCATCCAGCAGTTGGCTCTCAAGCACTGCAAATTACAAAAAAAAATTGGTGCCAAGAATATGCAGGGCACAATGGCGCTAAATTCGACTTCAGCAGGGCTACAACTGTGTGTCTCACGCTTGTCACCATGTTTCCGCTCTAAGTACAGCACCAATCGCCTCCTTTGATAAATACAAGTACACGGAGCAAACATGTTTAAGTACTGGAATTCACAAATCGACAGACTAGTCGATGCGGCTACACATATGGACGGGTGCTTCTGCTTACGTTCTCTTTTGCGTTGTCCTCTTATGTCGGGTAGGCAGTCAAGTTCCACAGGGTCACCGAACCTCTCGCCCCTCTTTAGGCGGCATTGGCGAGGTGCAAAAGCCTCCAATGCTCTTTCTCGCTGGAGTTTATCCCACAGTTCCATCCTGTCCAGCTCATGGGTTTCTCGTGCATCCGTTGCTCTGCTTTGCCGCTGCTGCTGCGCATGCAGTTCTGCAAGCTCCAGCAGCAGCCACTGCTCAGCTTTTATTCCCTCAGTCGTAATGGGTAGCAAGCGAGAGGGCGGGATCGTAATTGCCACGTTATCTCGCAGGCGCAGGCGGGCTCCGACGCCCATTGGCCTAGACACGTCGGCGTAAAGTTCCACATCCACCTCTACGGACCACGGTCCAGGGAGGAACTCTAAAAGCCAAAAAAGCGGAAATGCACAAAAGGGAGGGCAACGCCAACTTTCATGTGTAACCTTAGCAGTAAATAGAACAAATGCGCCTGCAATGCCCGCCCGGCGACTGTCTTACATATTGCGCCCTACCTCAGCACACGCCTCTAGAAAATAAGACCCCAAAACAAAGTCAGCAGCTTTACCATAGATACACAAGACCATACAGGTAATGCTACTGCGTGGAGCAACTTCTTCGAAATTTCTACCACCAATTTTGCAAGTCATCATAATACGCCATCGACGCGATCACGCTATCATTTCTGCTTTTTCCTCAGGGAATGCAGAATGCATGCATCAAAACTACAGCAAAGGCAAAGCAAAAGAGGGCAGAACTGGGGCAGCTACAGCGTTGCACTCACCCAAATGAGCCGTTTCGTTCTCCGCGTGCCTCGACAATAGTAACGGCTGGCCCTTTTGCAGACAGAAAACTGTAGCCTTTTCACCTGAAATTAAGGGTCCAGCGCTGTCATGACCTGCAGGGATCAGTATCTGGGAGGGAGCCACGGGAATTGTAGAGGGCATTTTGGAGGAGAAGGCGGCAGGCAGCTGCGAGGTGTACTTCACGTGCAGGTGAAGATGGCCCCTGTTAAATTCGTTTGCTTCATCGGCATCCACTTTTATAACTTCGATCTCTGCAAACCATGGCGCCTCCGTACATATGGCAAAAAACAAAGGCGTCTCCAAAGACGCGAGGCTCCTCCTGGGACTCCACCCAAACCGTTTGTTCAGATTCGCACACTGCCCACGTATTGCGTTAGGCCCCGGATTGTTGGGAAGAGAGGAGACAAAGTCCCTCAATTCCCTGTCCTTGATAGTCTCTGGTGCCAGCCAGGGGGATTGAGCAATTGCCTCGTCTGTTTTGTATCGGTTAACGTCGATCCAAAGACGGCATTCCCCTAGTGCCCTCTCCAGTGCCGTGTCCTCAGTGTAGGCACTCAGTAAACTTGAGAACTGTGGGGTGTGCAGGATCTCCGCGGGAACTGGGGTCAATTTCACCTCATTCACGGACATACCACCACGGAGGGGAGACACTGCCTCCATCAAACTCTGCTCGTGCAAGTCCATAGCCCCAACTGCAGCTCGGCCGGCAACGAGAACACTCGAAAGCAGTACATACCTGCAGAGTGCCATCTTTGCGCAAGCTGTAGAGACTCCCGAGAGATGTAGGCAGTAGAAGGGCCCACCGGCTACAACACCAGTGGTCACACCGCCTGGGTTGCCTCGGCGCCAATTGCAGCGCGAGAGCCAAGGGAGCCCTTGTGCCTGCAATGGAGGCCTTTGCGCCTTATAGGGCACTGCAAGGCCTTCCTCGTTTCTCACCAATCAATAACTTCTTCAGAAGATTGTACATCGGCATATTGTTTAGGCCCTGTCGCTTCATCCATCCAAAACTGCGCTTGTTACGGCGCGATCTCCCCCCCTGGCCTGGAGGGGCACAGTTTGGCAAGCAATGCCAATCGACTCAGCAGTGAGATCTCCCAAGGCCTCACCTTCTGCAAATACTACTGGAGAAAGGTGAAGGGCCCAATACGGTAGTTGGGCGCAAGCGAGAGCATCGGGAACACTTGGCGACAACTATCTCCTTCGCTCTTTCCCCACTGCAACAAGGGCAATATGTCCCTAAGAGAAAAACAAACATGTAAAAATTATGTTGGAAGATTAAATGTATTTATGCACAGATTCATTCAATTGCTTAAATAGCTAGGCCTACGGGACCGTCCTTCTGGGCGCGCTCAGCCCCGTCTATTGACGGCCGGATGCAGAAAAATTCGGCCGTATGTCCCTTTTTCGGCCACCAATATATCTGAAAACAGTGCAAATACACACTATAATATACATAACAGCCTGAAAATACGCGTTTTGTTTTAATAACACATTAACCAAAGGCGGGGGCGCGACGAGCCGCGATGCTCAGATTGTACCTGTAGTGCACAGGCGGTACAATGTGGCTCTGGTGTGATCTCTAGTAGCTCATGAGAATAATTATGACATTAAGAACTAAGAAAGGGAATTAATGCTGCTAAAAGTTCTAACAATAGAGCACCGTAGGTGGAGCCATAGGTTAGTAGGATTACCCTGCCAGCTGCCACTATCGGCAGTGTAGCGCAATTCCTAGTCACTACTTGGGCACCAGGTAGGCCCCTCTAGATATCTGGTTGAAAAGGAAATAGAATTATTACTATATAGGAGTGTTATGCCTATGAATATGACTTTGGTGGATTGCAGTTATAGGTCTGGCTCCTGACCGTGCCATCACCGTTGATATCCCCCCGTCATCCTCTAGGTTGGGCGCTGACACCCAGCCATGACCGGGGTCAACTCGGAACACAGTTCCTTTGGTGAGAGATGGCAAGGGAGACGAGACAACGCATCGATCACTTGGTTGTGCGCGCCCGGCAAATAAGTGATGATGAGGTGGGGAAACTCCGACAGAAAATCTATCCATCGAGCAGTTCGTCCTCGTAATGGCTTTGATGCTTTGATCGTTTGTAAATGAGTAAGTGCATGGTTGCCTGTGTATGCGGTGACCTTCGCAACTCGCAGCAACTGAGCCCATTTGTCGAGAGCGGTGACCAGCGCCAAAAGTTCCTGATCATAAATCGAGTATTTCTGCTGTGCGAGGTTCATGATCTGACCGAGGAATCCAATTGGCTGACCCGCTTGTATAAGATCCCCTCCTATTGGATATCCTGATGCATCGGTGTATAGGTCAAAAGGCTTTGCGGTGTCTGGAATCTGTAAAGCGGTATAATCAATCAGTCGTTGTTTGAGTTCTCTCACCGCGTCAGTATGAGATTCTGTCAATTCAAAGGGTGTCCCTTTTCGTGTAATTCCAATAAGAGGTCAAGCTATGATTGCGAATTTCGGACCAATGAACATGCGGCAGTAGTTAGCGGTGTCTAGGAAATGACGGACTGGAGCCGCATTTTCCAGTACTTCGGGCCACATCCTTATTGTTGTTATCTGCTGCGGGTTTAATTCCCTCTGCACTAATCGTGTATCCCAAGTATGTAAGTTCCCGTTTGGCAAATTTACACTTTGGAAACTTCCTTATTTCCCACAACTGCAGGCGCTTGTTTATTAATCACAATTTGCCTCCATCCGTAGTCTCCAGGTTTTCGGAAAGCAGTATTTCTACAATATCAAATATTGTGGCTCAATTTCAGCTCATATTCCTCCTCGGATAAGGACAAGGACGCCGCATTACACTCGGTAGCAACCAATGGTTCACCGGCTGCAGGTGCAGAAACATGCTCCACTCCTACAGCATCTAACACATAAGATACCCACGCTGCTGCAGTTACGGCTAAGCTCAACAACGGTCAACGGTTCAAGCACTACAGCATCGACAGTGATCTATTGTGGTCTGGGACGAAACGTGTACTTCGGGGATTGCATATGCATTCTGCTCATAGTTCGCTTATCGCCGAAGCAGTGGCTCAACTATCCTTTGATCGTGCCTGGAAGCTCGTTGGTTTTCCGGCAAGCACCAATCCCGAAAAGGATCCGAAGCTTGTCAGAATTTTTTGGCGACAATTCATGAATCGGCTTAGCTTAGAGCGTAACATGGCCAAAGAAAATAATCCGGAGGCCGACGGTGAGACAGAAAGCCGGAACTGCGCCCTTGTTCACTCCTTGCAACTCTATATCCACCAAAGTTCATCAAAGTGGCTAGGGTTTTTCCTTTCTGCCGAATGGGTTTATAATTCAACTCTGCTCTATTGCACTTATGGCTCTCTGGCATCTACCTAGACACGCCGCTGGCCGGCTCGCCTTTATTTTTCTAGACCTGGTTTTCGTAATCCAGCCCTGTACGTCCCCAGCCTCAAGGTTCCCCACGCAAGTAACAATAGGACGAAAACCAGTTGGAACACTACAGAAGCATTAGAGAAAGAACAATGGAAAACGACTTTCAGCAGCTACTTTCAGCTCGTCGGACACGGTTTTGGTGGATTCCCAGCGCCTCTGAAGCATGTAGGAGAGCACGCAGCCGCAGCAGTTCTAGATATTTGCTGTGCTTGCTTGACTCAATGCATTGGACTACACCGTCGTCTTCCCCATTACTTGGTTCTGTATAATGGCTCAACGAATCACTCGAATACCCCGGAACATTGCAAAAAAATGCCAGCAACGTCGGGGCGATAAAACACATGGAAACGGTATTACACGACCTTGCAGCGTTATACAAATGTCACAGAAACGAGCCTATTATGTTGAATAGTCTTGGGACCCTCAGCCTGCACGGGTTTCTTGCTGCCAGCTTTTATATTGAGGCGCGCGGTTCCCTCATGCAAGACGGCATTGCGTTCTGTTTAACTGCCCTTAAGATGAGATTGAATATATGCTAAAAATGCAAGAAACTGCCTATTATGTTGAATAGTCTTGGGACCCTCAGCCTGCACGGGTTTCTTGCTGCCGGCTATTATATTGAGGCGCGCGGTTCACTCACGCAAGACGGCATTGCGTTACCGGCAAGCAACCAATCGGCTTAGTACTGGAAGTGCTGCTGTAATAAAACGAAGTGAGAGAAGAGCAAAAATATCCGAAGGCAGCATCTGCTTAGCAACAACAGGAGCTAACCGTAGGTCCAACGCACCTGAATTTGGCACAGGAGCCCTTAGTTAGCCTCACTATACGGCCGGTAAGCAAGCAGAAGCCTTCACCAGCGGTATAAGCTGCTAATACATGCAGCAAAAATATTTAGTCGAGCCCTGTCTACATTTGTTCTAGCAAGGTGCGTTGCAACCCGTGCTGGCCGACTCCTCTCCCGCATCCCCGGGCATATGGCCGCTAGGCACTGTAGACGAATGCCAATTGTTCTCAAGTAACTCTGATCAAGCACGCCAACTCAATTCCACTTCAGGTAGAAGTAGTCCTTGGATCAGACCAAGAACTCACGTTACAATCGATATAACCAACACACGACGATGAGCACAACATACACATGAAGCACCCGCGGAATTACCCCTTGTAACAGGAAGGAAACCCATTAAGAAGGTCCTGCGTACACAAAATGTTCACAGAGAAATTCATACAGAAGCTCGGAAAGGATAAAGCAGTTGTTTGTAAGCGAGCCTTTCCGACCAAAGCACAACCAGTGGACTCAACGGTGCACAACCAGTGGACTCAACGGTGTCTACCTGCCCCAGAGACAGTATCCCTGTAGCTTCACGTTACTGCAAGTGACAACTTGCACTCTGAGATACTGAATATTTATGGTCAATCTTTCATTTCATTACACAATCAGCTCGTTTGTGGCCTACCAGCAGTAACGACTGAGTGTAACGCCCGGGTAGGCGGTCCGCACTACTTTTAGCAGAACCGCGTCCTCTACTCCTAGCTGTCGACAAATATCTTGCTTTCTGAGTCCACTTGCCCGTTCAGTTATTAAAATGAGTTCCCAAACACGTTCGACTTATACGGCCACCCAGGGAGGCACCCAGCAATCAGAACAGGACTGACTGGAAAAAATACAGTTGTGTTACCGGTACCTCCATTGCTTTTAGCCAGTATTTAAAAACCTAACGGGGAGAAACCAAACCGAGAGAAAATAATACTTCCCTACGAACAGCTTTTCCCAAAACAGGGCCGACGCGGTCGTCCCTGCACAGCAAGTTCGCTCTAGGTTCATATGGTGCTTTCTCTACTATAGATTCACGACCTCCCTTCCTTATATAACGCATACTCCCTTTTCCTGAATATTAAGCTACTAAAAGCCATAATTCGCAAATATGGTAGTGCTTACTCCGCACCAGTACTACCACTGTCATTCGCTGACTTACGACACCAACCGAGCTACACCTCCCTAGGCACCCTGCCCCTAAACCATGGTAGTACCGACTCCTTTCTACTAACAATTTATCCAAATTTCTAACATTTAGCATTACCTTCGCCCCTGTCCGACTTATACCCACATTACACTACTCAACCTATTGTAGTGCAGTGCACTACACTGGGGGCTGCATGCGTATCGCCTTGTCAAAAATAGCTCGTAAAGGCTTCAAAGATGTTCTTGTAAATAATTTTCAATGCAGAAATTCCCCTTATTTGGTTGAAATTGTGCATGGGAGGTGGTGGATCTTCACTGGACCCTTCTGACCATCCTCGTGTTGCTGCAGTCGTCGCAGCTT